TCTCTCTCTCTCTCTCTCTCTCTCTCTCTCTCTCTCTCTCTCTCTCTGCTATCTGTTTGAATGAAAATTGCAAGTGAAGAAAAAAAAATCGATAAAAATAAACATTGGCTGACTTGAATACGCTTTTATCGCAATAATTTGCACGCAATCATCATTCTCTTTATGCGAGCAAAAGCATTTTCAAGACTGTTTTGTGTCGGTGCTATTGTTCATTTTATGCGACTATCAAGCTGCTACTGCTCTATTGTTGAACGGAGCACCACTATACACTTCTCTTGCCTATTGCCGTGCACTGTGTGCCTGTGAAAACTTTGAAGCGGCATTTTACAGCCCCTCATATGCGCGCCACATATAAATATACCGCGGTGTAGATTCGCAGACGCCCCATATATAATTATGTGCAGTTGATTTTTTCTCTATTTTGATTTGCCATTTCTTTCGTTTTTGTTTGTGTTTTATTTTGTACCGTCGTCGTCGTCTTCGTCAATTTTCCAAAACATAGATAAGAGAACAGGAACGGTTTTATTTCATTTTCTTTTTCATTACATCACATTCACAGAACCTGAATCATAAATGAGTCACTTCGTGAACGGTTGTTGTTACTCCGACCAGCGTAACGATGGGAGTTGCCTGAATAGAGACGGTTAAATGCTACACACAAAAATCGATAAAAGTAAACACTTTGAAGTGTGTAACTGTAAATATAAAGTAGCCGAAATAGCCGAATAACAATAAAAATAACAGCAACAACGCGTCAAACCGAACCGAACCAACAATGGAGGATTTATTAGCGCAATTAGTCAAAGAAGCCACGGGACCAAAGTTAATGAATTTGAAAAATGCGTCGCAAAATGCTTACGGTATGGAAAAATGTACCAGCAAACACCGTATTGCTGTGTGTTTTTTTTTTGCTTTCTTTTTTTTGGGTTGAAATATTGGTGTGCTTTTGTAATTTCGAGCGAGTTTTATTTATGCGATTGTTTTATCGGATATATTTATATTCGTATCCTTTAGATAAGTTGCAACGGCAGCATGGTACACATCGAGACGCATCGTATGAACTCCGTACCGTATGTTTGACAGCCATACAAATGGCTTTGGAAACTAAGCGGCCGAAATTTATCTCACTGGCTCTCAATGGAATGCACGTAAGTGAACTGTCGTCATTCTCCTCCTCCTCCTCCACCTCCTACTTTTCACACAAAGTGCGGTTCTTGTAAACACTAATTTTTCATCAGCAGCATGAGCAATGTAAATCATGCTGCGTTACTGATAGACAAATACAAAAGCATCATCATCATGAGGCAGTTTAATAAATGGCGGTGTACTTTATTTTAAAAAAAAGGATGGAAATATTCTTCATTAAATAAAAGATTTTGCACCACTTCATGCCATAGCAGAGCATATTTTTCATAGCAACATTATTTTTTTTTCTCCCTTTTCGCTTTTTTTCATCTTGCAACTGAAGCGAGTCATTAAAGACGAACGATTTTCGGTTGGCATCGAGCCAGAAGACGATTCACTATGGTTACCCGCACAACTACTGCGAACCACTTCATCAGTACTGGTACAAGGATCTTGGGCAACTGAAGAGACTCTTGTTAACATTTTACGCTTATTTCTGGCCATGGCTTGTTCACCTTCGTGCACACTCAACGGTCGACTCTTAATTGAAATTCTTTCAAAATGCGGTGATTATCTCAGACACATAAAAGAGAAAAGAAGAAGAAGAAGAAAAAACTTTCACCACCATAATGATATCGTACATTCAAATTTTTTGGATTTACTCTGTCTGTTTGTTTCGTAGGTGAATGCTGGGAAAGTGGTTCACGAGCCGTTCGTGCCGCATCGCTTGCTGCAGCAAGTCAATGCTTGCGAACGTTCTGTGCGTTTCTAAAAGATGAAACGGAAGACGTTATGAAATCTGCACCAACTGGCTTAATCACCGTTGCACAAGCATCAGCTGTATACAATGAAGTTATCCCGGTTATGCAATGGCTATGTAGCCGACTCATTGAGCCAAAGTAATGGAGAAACTTGTCATCAATTTACATAAACGAACGAAATTATTCACCGAATTTTTTTGTTTTGTTTTTTTTTTTCTTTTCCCGTTCTTACAAACCCCAAATGAATAAATGAATGTCTAGAGTTGGAACGCCGAAGAAAAGTGATTCATGTGGATCGTTGTATTTAACCGAATGTGTTCTCACGTTGACAACCGCACTGCCGAAAAATGTGCAAACGAATCCACATTTTACGGCATTTCTGTGGCAAAAATTCTGCCCAACATTGGCTGCAGCACTCGGTTCTCCCGGTCGCGTTAACTTGGATAAGAAATTCACGTACAAGTGAGTTGAACCCGTGAGCATAAAAACGACTTATTAAACAATCGCCGAACAAAACTACAGATTAACAGGCAATAACATATTATTAACTATACTTAATAACATAATAATAACGGCCGATATATTGGTCCAACATAACATAATAATAACGTTATTAAGATTCAGCATAATAATAACATAATATGTTATGCGTTATATCGGGTGTTATCTTAATAAATCCTAAGATTCGGCGGTAATAACATTTTATTAACTATAATAATAACATATTATTAAGATGGATTTATTAACTCAATTAATAACATATTATTAAGATACAATCTTAATAACGCTTTTTTCGCGCATTTCTTTCGCCGGAGCACTGACAAGTTGTTTTTTCTCTGCGGAGTACACACATGAATTTTTTGCACTGTTGCAATGAATTTAAAATGACTCTTTGAAACGGAATTATCATGTATTGAACTTAACCATTAAGTTTGGGAAATCGCCAGTCCCGACCTTGAAAGGATCAATTTACCATATTTTGTCTGCATTGTTATAGGTGTGTACATCGTACAGTGCTTTTTTTTCTCTCCAGCTAGAGAAAAGAATGCGCGAAAAAAGCGTTATTAAGATTGCATCTTAATAATATGTTATTAATTGAATTAATAAAATCCAAACCTAATAATATGTTATTAATTCAGTTAATAAATCCATCTTAATAATATGTTATTATTATAGTTAATAAAATGTTATTACCGCCGAATCTTAAGATTTATTAAGATAACACCCGATATAACGCATAACATATTATGTTATTATTATGCTGAATCTTAATAACGTTATTAAGATAAAAAAAATCCCAACATAACATAATAATAAATATGTCGGGCAATAACATATTGATAACATATCGAAAATGTAAATCTGTAAACAAAACGATACAAGAAAAAACTACCAAACAAAACACACGTTAAAAACGTAACACAGCAGGACGGTACCGTTCAAAACGAAACTCCGCTGTGCTACACATTACCGCTGTGGTACGTTTTGTTCGGTAGTTTTTTCTTGTATCGTTTTGTTCGGCGATTGTTTAATAAGTCGTTTTTATGCTCACAGGTTCAGTTGTACCCATTTGAAATTCAATTGTCTGTTATCGAAAATTTGAAATGTTAATTTAATTACCATCAAACCCATTTTTTGGCTATGAATAAATTTTTGAATGCTCTCTTTTTTTTGCTCTTCGTGCATATTCTCAGGGATGCGCTACATATAATAGAAAATGAAACGCGTGGTTTCTTTACTGGGCCTGGATTGGATCCACCACAAGCCCGATGCATTTACTTGACAGCAATTCAATTACTTCGTATTGCTGGTGCACAAAATTCCCTTCGTCCAATGCTTGAAGCTTTATTTCATCGTATGCTGCTATTACCATTACCACAAAATCGTTCCGACCCATTGAAATGCGTCAAAGAAATATTTCGGTATGGTGTTGCCTTTTCTGTTGTTGTTGTTGTTGCTTTGTGATGACTGAGCGCAATATCAAAACGACTCATTTATATGCAGAATGGTTTTTGACGACATTAAAATTACGCTCATTTTCAGATCTCCCGCACGTTTGGTCGATTTATCAGTGATTTTGTACATGGACAAAAACCATGGCCACAACTGTGGCGATGACATGGCTCTGTTTCGACTGTAAGCCCGCCACTTTTGATATGAATACCATTTTATGTTTGCGAATGAAAAAGCAATTATGTAAAATATATCAACATCATATTCCGTTTTTGTTTTTCCCATCGTCACTTTCTCCCTCTCTAACACACACACACACCAGAATCATTGATGCGATGGAAGAATGTGCATTGTCAGCACAAGCGGGTAACTCATGTGAAAATGCACTTCAAGCAAGTGTCGAGTGCATTGTTGCACTTTTAGAGAGTTTACAGACATTATGTTCGGGTAATATCGATGAAAATGCGATGTGCGATCAAACCGTTCAAAGCATCAACAATCGTTTCGGTTCATTGAAAGATGTCGACTACACGGGGCCACTCACGTATCAGTATATGGCGAGGTTACCAGCACCATATCGGTTCGTATGATTTTGACTGGACTTGTTTTTTTTTCAATGTTGCATCTTCTTCTTTTATGAAATCAGCATTGAATCACATTTGTTTGGAATGCTTTTTTCTGCGGTTGATCCATAAATAATTTATTCTTCATTTAAATTCAATGGAATAACGAAAAAAACCGGCATTCAAATCAAAAAATAAATATCACATGTGACCATTTGTTTGAAACTTAAAACAGAGATGCAGTCGCGGAATTGCGTGAGAATGGCTTTGAAACATCGTCTGGTTCCGAAAGTGAGCTAGATGGCAATGACGGTGAAATCGCGTCCACTGGCTCTGGAGACACGGAAGGCCCCGAAGAAGAGCTACATTCATCTAGCGATGAAAATTCCTCAAGAAACGAAGGGAATTGGCCGTATTCGTATCTTGAAGCACCACCTCCGATGGGATCAAACAGCGAATTCGATCGACAACACGCCAGGGAATTTACCAAATCGTTAGCAAATAACTTAGTACCGCGTTTGCTGAAACTTCGAACAACGGTTGAAGTGGACGAGGCAATTCAAGATTTTGCCTCGAATATTTGCCAAGAAAACAGTTTGAATTATTCGGATTTCGATTACAATCTGACCGCTATAAATGCAGATGGCATTTATTTGGCGACATACTCAGCATTGCTGCTTAGTTTTCAATTAATGAAAGCGGGCCATTATGAGAATGCAGAGGTGAGACAATCAAATATAAATCACATTGAGTCCAAGTGAAATTTGCGTTCGATTGATGTGAACCATTTGCAGAATGTTCAAATTTAATTATGATAAATTCAGGACAAATAATTTATCTCACTTTATTGTTAATTAATCGATTTCCGCTTCATTCATTTGCAGGAATTAGTGACAATTCCACTGACTGAGCAGCAATTTGTGGCATCTGTACAAAATACGGGTGTTTTAGTATACTTATCAACCGGTTGGTTATGTGAATTGTATCAGTCGATAATTGCGTCGAATCCAATGGTGCTATTGAAAAAAGAGGAATGTTTCGAGAATCGGTGCGCGTTAATTGAATTGTTACAAGACGCAGCTGGAATTGGTCAAACGCAAATGTTATCCGAGTGGTTGCGTTTGCATAATGTTGGCAGTTTGCACATCGATTTATCGGATCCACGACGAGATGCGGCGAATAAATTGGCACGAAGACTGTTGACTTGTTGCTGGGAATCAATGGTAACGGTGTTGAGTGCGGCTTTGGATGATTTAAATACGTCAACCAAAAATAGACTGGTAGTTATGTCGCAAAAGACGTTAAAATTTAAAAAGCCACAAAACATTGGCGGCGAAGCGTTATTTGCACTGTCCTTGGAAGGACTGCATGCAGCCGCTACACTTAGCAACTCATTAAATTTGCAACATTTGGCTGGTAAAATCTTATCTCTGCTCGCAACCAATGTGTGTTCAACATCTGGCCCACGGATTACGGCAAGTCAAGCACTGTCAATGGATGTCGTTCTCACCGGTGGTTTGGAATTGGGTTCGTACAGTGGTGAATGTTGGATGCCCGTCTTTTCGGTGTGTCGACACGTCACCCAAATCGAACATGATCTATTTAGCTTACAAAATACTACACTGAGTCCGTCGAAAAGTAATGGAAAAATTGGTGACAATACAGAAAAATCGGTGATAACACAGGCTGGCACCGGAAATGATAAACTTAATCTATCCTCATGTCCAATTGATGACGATGAAACGTGGTAAGTTTCACTGATGCTGCTTTTGTTTTACAACCCCATTAAAAACACATATTAACATTTGTCATTTTTATTATCTCTTTAACATGCACGCAGCGTTGACGTTTATAGCTTTTTACAAACACCATTACAAAGTCCATCCACAAATGTAGCATCTATTCTGAAGAATCGTAATAGTTCGAATGAAACGTTGCTCAGTCAAGCCGACACAGCAAAAGTGCTTTGCACTCTATCACATCAAGCAGAAAATCTCTTTGCTGACGCAGCGGATCGTCTCTGTTTACCAGCTTTGCTACAGTTCACCAAGAGCTTGTGCCGGGCATCACGTGATCAGCTGTACCGCAGCAACGGTTCGAAAAAAGTGAATCGCATGTGGTGGCCGACACGTGCTTGGAAGCAAAAAAATGATTCAATGCCATTGGCATTACTATTGCACCGTGTCGGTGATGTCACTTTGAGAGTATTCCGTAGCTCACGACCTCTATTGCATATTCTAAAGGTGTGGGCCATTACCGGGCCACATTTAATGGATGTAAGTCAATTGAATTTGCTCTTTGTTTTCATTGCAAATATAATTACTCTATCTATCTCTGTGTTTTTTTTTTCTACCTTGTACCCACTTGTACCTTGTATCATACTCATATATAAATTTGCATACGTCTCATTTGAATATACACAGGCCGCGTGTCACAAGGATCGCTCAATATCGAAACGAGCTATTGAATATATTCAAGATGTTATTACAAGTCTTCTTGTCGAACAAACAGAACTACCTCATTTCCATTTTAATGAGGCTCTTCTCAAACCATTCGAGAATCTATTGAGCATGGAAACTTGTGATATTGATGTTCAAGTAAGTGGCCGTCGCAACATTGAAAGTAAACAAATTTCGTCTTTGCTTTATTTTTACTCTTGATTTTATTACACGAAACCAATGGGTTTCTTTTTATACGTTGAAATTCAAATTTAAATATCAAATATGCAATGAATTTATTTTTAATCAAAAATCCAATTTGTTTTTCTCTCCCCCACTCTCTTTGTGCCTCCCCGTTTCGTACACAGGATCAGATTGTGGCATGTCTGTATGAAATAGTTGAAGCACACAGAACGGAGATACGAAGTGGATGGCGGCCGTTGTTTGGCACATTGCGAAACGCACGCAATCGTCCATTGAACACAACTAATATTATTGATATATTTAGGGTATTTTTGGAGAGTGACAATACGCTTGTTTTTGCAAACGCTGGCTTAGACTGTATCTTATGTTTGCTATCTTATTTGGATGCAACATCATCAAATGGCAATGGATGTGCCAGTGATTTCGACACAACATTTCGTCCAATCGAATTTCTGCATGAAATTCTAAAATTCTTGGAGCGTTGCGCTTCAATTCTATCGTTTATGTACAATATGCCGAAATGCCCAAACTTCCATTCAACGCACAAAATTAAGGGTATCGCATACACGCACACCATCGATGCAAACATACCAAATTCCATGGAGAATTTCACATATTTTGGCAACGATTATTTACAGTTCGGCAACGAACAGCACATGATCTCGTACCGGTCGCTGCACATTGACAAGGATTCAATCACTAAAATTGATGAATTGGATAAATCATCCGGGGTGCTAAAAGTATGGTTCTTACTATTGGACGGTTTGACGAATGCATTGATTGTGTGCTCGGTGCAACATCAATCGGCCATTCTGCAATGTATCCTAAAGTTATTTAAAAGTTTACAAAAAACGCCGGGCATTGAATTTGCATTCTATTGCATCAATCATTTACTCATACCCATGATACAGGATTGGTTGCGCTATGTCAATAAAACATGCAGCAGTTGGAATATGATTGAGAAAAACTTTAAGCATTGCTGTGGCATGACAACCGATCTGGTGGTGGATTGTATTGAACAACAGGCACAAGGTCATTTCAGCCAATTGGAGCGTATCGATAAGAGTCCGATAAAAACAAAAGTCACGAGTATTAAACGGTCGAATGACAATCTGAAATATCATCATCATCATCATCAAATGAGTTCAGATGATATGAATAATATTTACGGTGAACCGCAGAATTCGAAAATGTCGGCCGCTGCAACGTTGACGCTCAAACAAATACTGCTCGTATTGATTGAGTGTTCGGCTCAAAGTCAGGAATCGGTGGCACGTGTAGGGGTATCATGTTTGAAGCATGTAATTTTATCAACTGGTCATTTGTTCAACGAGACACAATGGCTTATCGCATGCTCGGCCATTCATAGAGCATGCACCGTCACCGTTGCACCATTACGTCAGCTGTCGTTTGCATTTCACGAGAAATCGAACAGTTTCTATGGGGATTGTGCAACGGTGAAGGTGGCCGCACGACGTGACAGTACAATCGAGGAAATTATGCGAATCAATGCACTGGCACAGAATGTATTTCTAATGGACAATCAACGTGATCCACAGAATAAAACCGCATATTCAAATACCATTGACGGTAAAATACCGTCCGATGATCGTAGCTATTCGTTTTTATTGTATCCATTGACAACGAGTTTCGGTCAAAGTGTGGAGAATTTTGTTATTCGCATTCCGTATCGTAGTTTAGTCATCGGGCTGTTAGCCAATCAAATGCTGTTGCCACTCGTCGCAAAACTTTTGCTTGGAAATCTCAAATGTGTGCCATCCGAAGTGCATTCGTGCATTTTTGAAAATATCAGCACTAATAAATCCGGTACACAGTATAACGTTGGTTTTCGTTCGCGCGAAATTTTACTACGATGCGTTAAGCAATATTTAACAAGTTCATTGGAATTTGATTCACGTCCCGGTCTGAAATTCCTCATGCAAAAGGTTTCGAATATTGATTTTGCTGCCAATTTATACAAGCAAATGACGTCGTCATGGATGATTTACTTTATCTCAATGGTGGATTCATATTTGGTCGATATCACCGCATACAATCTCAGCGTTGAAGATTTAAATTATATTTTAAAATCGTGTTCACGCGTTAACACATCCACGGTGAAGAAGAAGGAGAATTTTGTGCGTTATTTATTTTCATTGCAAGACGCTTGGAATTTGGTGTGTGATATCTATTTGAATAATTCAAATATTCGAAATGGTGATGGTTCCATATGGCAGACGACGCAAAAATCAATCGAATCACTGTCAAATGATGGTGGATGTGGCGTTGGTGTGGGTGGTGATGCCAATGAAAATTCAGCAGCTGATGACAGCATCAACATGGAACGAAGCCCAAACGATGCAAATGGCGGCACCGAAGAAAATGATGAATTCAATACCAGTGAAACTGGTTCAACATCACCGCTCAACCAAAGCAATCACCGTAACAATCCATTCGATGTGGTACGTTCACCCAGCATCGAGCTATCCGAATCCAATAAATCCATTGCACCTGAGATCGAACAGCAGCGTGCATCAAGCATTTTGAAAGATTTAAATTTTAAGCGTGCCGTTTTATCACAATTGGTCATCGCATCAATGGAATTGCTGTCGACATTACCGAAGAAAAATGCCGATGATTTACGTTTGCTTATGACACCGACCATACGCGAATCATTTCGTTTGGTTCAATTACAAGATAACGAGCTTAAACTGGTGTAAATGGCAAAGTGAGAGTGCAGCGAATCCGTGAATCGTATGCATGCCCGCAAATGCCATTTGCCAAACTCAGTTCAATTTATTCAATGCACCGCATGGTTCATATTTTTTTTCTGCTTTACATATATATTGAGAGAAGGCAACAAAGAATGCATGAATAAAAATAAAACAATGGTTCAATCGAAATGAATTAAGATGAGAGAAAAGAGTGAATTATTTTTTTTATGAACATTTATATACACTAATAAAAAGAAAAACAAGAATTATAATGCAAGTACAATGGTAAAATACCAGGGAGGAATTGGAAAACTACCTTAGCTATTGGCGAAAAAGAAAAGAGAAGGAAATTGGTAAAAGATATCTATCAAATTGAAAAAGTCGTTACTTGTTTCCACTTCATATCTGTTATCGATCTATCTATCTATATATAACCCTTTAACCCTCTCCCAGTCCATATATATACACACACATATACATATATACAATCACTAATCACTCTATTGAAAATCGCTTCGAAACTCCCTATCTATATATATGTTTCCCTTCGAATCACATAAACAAACAAACAAATATATATATACACATACGATGTACCGAAATAAATGAGCAAGCTAAGCAAGAACTATTAGGTGTGTAATCAATAAATATATTAGGCGGTAGCAAAAAAAAAATGCAAAGAAAAAGAAGAAGAAGACAACACTTGTTTTTTAGGTTGCCTATATTTATCAAAAGCAAACAGAACAGAACCGTTCCCTCAGCTCAATGTACAATAAGAGACAAAAAAAAATTATGTATACAAATATGGAAATTTATTTTGTATTTATTCTTTATGAAGATAAATAGACGAAAAACCGTGAAAAAAAAGTAGTTGAGTACCGAACGAATGAACGCCGACATCGTCGTCGACGAAAACGACGAACGAACGAATTGTGTATTTATGTTCCGTGCGAAAAACAAAATGATCTATGATTAAATGAAAGAAGAAGAAGCGAAAGCAGAAAAATATAAAAAAAAATCGTTGTAAAGGCTAATGCTATTTAATTCCTAGAATATGTATCTAATAAATTTTGTGTGTGCAACATCAACATTTGTTCTTCAATTTTGTTTTTCTTGTCATTGTTGTTGTTTTTTCGTACCTTTATTCTGTGAGTGTAATTAATTTGGATCGCATGTTTATGCTGCTTGGAGTGCGAGTTAATGAGCTCAGCGCCATTTGTATGTACAAGTGTATGTTTGCGATTGGATAAAGCAAATATTTGATTTATGTTAATGACGACCATCAACAGTAACTTTTCGTCTATGATGTCTGCGTGTTTTGCGTTTGATTCCCGCGAATCAGGCCATTTCATGAACAAAAAAACTGCTTTGAAAGTTTGTTACACAAAATCTAAATTTTGTTGAAAATCTCCTTATTGTTTTTGCTGTTGTAGCACAAATGATACACAATTGTACTTACTATTACTTTGAAAGTGATTTACGAACCAGTCACCGGGCGATAAAATGTTGCGTCGCGTTTTGCCGGGTTTTGCGCAATTTTCGTGGTGAGTCTGGAATGGTGGGCGATGAGAACGAGAGAGAGAGAGAGAGACAGACACAGAGGCAACACAACCTGTCATATTAGATCGTCAACAATAACAATGGACGTAAAAAATGGAATTCTAATGACTTTTTGTTTGTCGCTTCAACTCTTCATTAATGAGATGCATCAAAACCCGATACACAATCGGATGGAAGAATGGGAGAGAACGAGAATGAAAAAAAAACTAAACTCATTTCCAATCGATTGTTTGACATTTTGCAAATAAATCGCAATGATGATTCAATAAAAACCGGGTGTATTTATCCTTGGATTTAATTGAATAAAACTTGTTACGCTTGTATCATATCATCATGCATACAGTGTATATTATACACGGAGCGGAGTGCTCATTTTCTATGACATAAATGTGCATCGAGCTTCTATTTTTCATCGAGAATCAATGCCTAGCTTAACATTTGCCACTGGCAAGAGAATGAAATGGAAACAGCAACGAAAAAAAAAAATCAACAACCAAATTAAAGTTGGCGCTGAAAATTGATAGCCTAGAAAGTGAGTAACGCGAGACAATTTAAACACTGAATACTATGTAGCTAATGTAATCTGATGTGATAATGAATTTTAGAGTTTGTATAACCTTTCAATCAATGCGCCCCGCTCGGTGTGTTTTCTGTCTACACTATGCTTTTTTTTTCTCACTCTCGTTCGCCCAAAGTCGTTTATTTACCGGATTTAAATCGCGTGCAAGTCACACCAATTTATCACCTTGTATAGTGCCTGCTGCTGCTGCTGGCTGCTACTGCTACAAATGACAACAGATCACGTGATAAAAATTAAAAAAAAAAACCAGACATGAAAAAGCATAATCAAATTGAGCGCTGAGAATCAGTCGTTGTAGTTGCGTCGTTTGATGAGCTGTCAATTTAAATTCACGTTTATGGTAATTTACCATTGGTAAATACACCAGCGACTGATTATTGTGCGACATAACAATACACCGGCGGTGGATTGACTGATGAATGCGGCTGCCGAAACACAAATTTACAGTAGATGATTATCGTTCAATAATAAATGAATGAGTATTCTCGTGCTCTCCTTACGTGCGTACGTGCTCTCGATGCCACTTGTTTGGCTTCGGCCGACTGTGTTTCTGAATGTGTGCTGCTGCTGCCGCTGCTGCTGCCTGGCGCGCTGAGCGAACTGAAAAGTTCGCAATGATCGTGCTCATTCCATGCGGACGAATTCATCCGACGTGTACACATTCCGTTTATTGGAAAGAAATCGATACGAATCAGTGAATCCGTATGTCGAAACGCTCACATGTGAAACATTTCGAATGGCACTGAGAGCGAGAGAGGCTGAGTCTTTTGTAGACCCATGTGGCTGATGCAGCATTCAGCATAAAAAATGTATGCACAAACATTAAACCAACAACAAGAGTAAATGAAGCTGCAGCGGCTTGATGATGAGAGCATGTGAGCGTCGAGTATTTGATTTTCCAAACACACAAAAGTGAGTAAAACAAGAGCAAATCGGCAGCTTGTTTACTCTCTCGTGCTGCTGTGTTGTTTGCTGTTTGTGCATTGGATGCGGTTGGTTGGTTTAATCGGCTGTGTTCGCGCTACCATAGCGTCACATAATAATAATGAACTGTGATATTCCCATCTCACTCAGTGACGCAACGCAAGTGACGACGAGCACGAAACGCAACCGTAGACTGACGACGCGCTCGCTTGGCTCTCTCTCTCTCTCTTTTTCTCTCCTTTTCAACACAAACCAACCCGACTAATTCGGCAATTCGTGTTAGTCGTACGAGAGCTGCACATTGAGTAGCTTCACCTCATTCGCACCGAAAAGAGAGTGGAAGATTCGCTGTCGAACGCATTCACACCGAATACAATAAGAAGAAGCAGAGAGAAAAAAACGAAAAAATATTGAATTTCCTTCACGATTTTTGTAGTGTTTCAAATCAGTTAGTCAGTCAGTCAGCCAAAGACATCATCTAAATGTATACATAATCCGAATGTGCTCTCTCTTTGCGGTATAGCCAATAAATTTTTTTGTATCATTGCTTTTCGAAAAATTCTGTGTGTGCGATTTTTTTTTATTCTTCGTCTCTTTACATTTTATTTTGAACAACCAACATTGTCAGAACAGTGCGTCGATTCATGCGAATGCTCACACATTTGATATTCGGTCGTGATTTGGTATTTTATGATATTTTGTTCAGTGTATCTAGAAATCGATTCAGTCTGTGCAAAAGAGCATAAACCAAGTTAGTTCATTAGTTCACTTCGAAATACAATATTCGTATTTGTGTTTAATGCAAACGTGTTTTGCGTTGGTTTTCCTTTATATTCGTTCTTTTTATTCTTTTTTTTCTGGTTTTTCTTCTTCTTTTGCTTCCATCTGATAATAATCATTCATGAGAAACGAATAATAAAGCCACAAAGACCCTTCGAAATATAAATCGTCGAAATAATGTTGGATTAAAATCCATCGTGTTTTCAATGAAATTTATACCTCGGTACGCGCGTACAATGGTGAAATGTGTGTGTGTGTATGTCTGTATGTGCGTAGAACTGTGGTGTGGAGGAGTGTGCTTTTTGTGCGTTAAGAAATTGTGAAATAAAACGAAGAACGAGAGATTTTACCAAAGAAACAAAAAAACGACGAAATTAAAATGAAACCAAACAAATCGAGAAATTAAAACCATTTAACTGGCAAAATTGTGGCGAGTAATTTACGTATCGATGGTCCTTGATTGATTGAACGACATCGATCAATTGAGTCCATACTAAATATAGGATTGTGTCTATCTCTGGATACATGCACATCACGACAACGATATGGCGTCGATGAAAAAAGATTTGCCTGACAGAATTTAAAGTTAAAATAAAACATCACTACCAGAACAGAGCGAGAGAAAAAATATTGTCGACGAAATTGAAAAACTCGAAAATAAACGAGCATCGCATATATTGTGTAGCATCGCAACATCGGTCACAACGATGTAAAATGCGTACCAATAAATTTTTACCAGATTTTTTTCGTTCGTTCGTTCATACTTTTTACACTCTCCCTGTCGGCCCGAGATGTGATACACAGTGACACCCGCTCCCTCTCTCTCGCTATCCATACGCACCAAAATGTCAGTCCTGTACTGAACACAAAAAATACATAACGCAAATTTTCCCTTATTATTCACAAGATGAAATACGCGCTCCGTTATGTGCATGTAATTCAGTTTTGTTAGACAGGAAGAGAGAGAGAGAGGGCCGAGAGCATGAACCGACCCGAAGCCAACCAAAACGTCAAATATTCCGTCTTATATACTTATTTTTCGGCAATGGTAAATGTTGGAACATATATATGTGGCAACCAGAGGGAATGTATGTTGGCAACGATTATTATGAATGTGGTGTAGCGCCAGCCATGTCTCTCTTGCTCAATGAAGTTCGCAGCTGAAACATGAAATATTTCGGGGGATGAAATTAATTCCTTCATTTAGATGCTGAATTGTCTTCTTGTGTTTCGTGGTGAGCGTGAAAAGAGGGTTGTAAATGCGATAAGCGATTTCTGATACTAGGCTTCTGCCTAGGCTGCCACTGCTGCAACCGCTTTTCCCTTCGACATTTTTCAAGGCTCTATCTCTCTTCTACCGCTCGAATATACACATTTATTTTATGACATTCCACATTTTTCAACGAGGAGCGACTAAAACACTTGTGCGAACCTTCTAAGATTCCTCCTACTAAGTGTTTTGCGAAGTACTTTTTTATAGATTTCAAAACGATTATTTTACTTTCATGAACATTTTCAAAGTTTCGTCAGCCGTATACCCATATAAACGCGTTGCTTACTTTGTTTTGTTTCATTTTTTTTCACTGTTTTGCCTGGTTTCTTGAACCGGTTTTCATTAAAAAGTGCTCACAATGTTATTTTACTTGAGGACAAGCCGAAAAAAAAGTGGTTAAACTGATTATAAAACAATTATTTAGGTTAAATTCAATGTACTCAGCGTTCAAGAGATCGAAGTGCATTAAATTAAAAGAGCGCATAACGTACTTGAGTGTTGTAATGCATTGCACATGTGGAATTTCAGCACGGAACACGTTTCATGATGATGAGTCGCTTGAAGAACATATTGAAGCAACTTGAATGTCTTTGAAATGCATTCAGTTTTTTTTTCGTTATTTTTACAAACCAACAAATAGGTATAATAAGAAAAAAAACATTTTTTTTCTCTAAACGATAGGGAGAGAGCGAGTGAGTGATTCCATTCAGAAGGAAATGAATATGGTACGAGTGAAAATGTTAGGGAATGTGCTTGACTTTTATCACAAACGAAAACTTAAAGTGATTCAAAGATAGAAAATGCCATAGTTTTCCATCGGTGGAAAAACCAACTCAAGTGGAGTTATGCAAACATTCACAAACCAACAGTAACATAAAGACTTCGAGCTGGAGCACAGAGAGGCAACGATGAAAAAGGAATGTGTTCTATGTGTGTGTGTGTGTGTGTGTGTGTGTGTGTGTGTGTGTATGTGCAAGAGTTTGTGTGAAGCAAATGAAAAACCCATTTGGACTTTTAAATGTCGACAACCGGAAACTGTTTACTATGCACGAATATCAACGACGATTTCAGCACACTCCATTTTCGTGTTTTGTGTTGATTTCCATTCCTTTCATTTCTTTCCATCCTACTCTTTTCTTTCTTTCGCGCGTGTGTGTGTGTATTATGAGAGTGCTAAATATCTATAGCTAACATATGCTTGTGTTTCCTGCAGCTCAACATCATCATCAACGTGTGTCACGAATGGCAATCCATTGTCGTGCTATACTGTGAACAGGATTCCCGCATACACTGAGTAGAGTGTGTGTGGTCGTGGAGTGTGTTCTGTGATTTTTCGTTTTTTATTGAGACTTGGGAAACATTTTATATTGCGGCAGAAATGTCTTATCGAATAATTAATACAAAACCTCATCGAATCGACATAAATAACTAGTCGCTGTCTGGGTGAATTGGCCGATAGTGAATGACAGTTTTATTTAGTTTTTCCGAGGCAAATTCAGCATTATTCAACCGCCAATCGAAAAGGTGAGTACGAACGCAATTTCAATTTCTTGATTTATATCTCGACCATTAGCTGATTCGATTGGCTGGAAAATCGAATGACCAATCGACCGACAAGAAGTTAGCAATTTCCCGAGAACCAATTCCATACGGAACCTATCGCACTCCAGCCATTTGAAATTACATTTTTTACTTCACCCCATCCAAGCAATCATGTGCGGGGATTATATACCTACATTGAAACAATCCACCGTCGTGCGGTGCGCAAAAACAGCAATGTTGATTTCCCAATAAAATATGCATAAAGAAAGAAAAGGTTTATTAGGCAATTATGGTCAGATATATAGAACAGAGAGCGGTTACCAATACGGATACCAAACAACTGTGTATAATTCCATCGTACGAACACGCAGAACGTTGACCCTTGTTGAATCCAATAATGTGGCGATTTCATTTCAAATCAATACCGTGAGGTTTTCATACGGAAATCATAGAACTGAAAAGATTGTCTATTTTCATAATTTACGACTGTCAATGCACTGTTTTTCCCTCCAAGGAAATCAACCATTCATTCTGTATGGATATTTGTATGTACGAACGTTCTTTTCGTATTCATTGAATGCTATTGAAATTTTTCCTCGATTTTTCTCTCTAACGAAAAAGCGTGATTTGAATTTTTCCTCAAATGTGAATGGATTTCGATCCAAAAATATTTGTCAGATGTTTTATTCTCTTCTATCGCTTGCACATGTCGAAAAGTGCCGTCGAAATAACTTCAAACGGCATGATGAAAATCAACAGCAATAACAATAACAACAACAACAATGCCGACGACTGCAGTAACACAAAACCGAAAATTTGATTCGATCACTTGGCTTTGAAACGTGTTTGTGTGCTGTGCGGGTTTATTTGATGCCTTTCTTCTTCTTCGCATACACAGCGTATTATATTGGCAGAAAGTTAAAGAAAATGAACAAACTTGAATTTCAACGATAACCTTCAATGATTGTGTAGCAGACGCGTCTGGCTTTGGCACTGCCAGTGAGCGATTTAGCCGCAAACCCAAAGTTCATTATGCTTTTGTTGAATATTGTTGTTTACATCGTAATCATCATCATCATATGCACGATTCATCCATTTTAAACTGAATCGAATTTCAGTTTGTGGCTTGGCTTTGTGTAAATTCCCAATTTTCTTGTGCCTCATGTGTGTGATGTGATGTGATGTGATGTGTGTGTGTGTGTGTTGAAGATTTGTTTGTCTTGCAATATATCCTCGTCAAAATTGGATTTTCCCCATATGGAGACAGCGCACATAGCACAAACACAACATTTCGTTAAAATAATTTCTTTAAATAAATGGAATAATAAACGAATGAACGAACGTACAAAATGACTGAATAAGCAAATCAAACTTTAATTAGTTCAGCTTTTTTGTATAAATAGGCCACAACCACGGAATAATTTAATTCATCAATTTTCTTTGAAACGAAGAAGAAAAAAAGTATAAAATAAATTGTTGAAGCGACAGCGACAGCGACAGCAATAGCTCCAGCAACAGCAACGTTGGCTGAATGGCTCCATGTGCCATTCGTAATGATTGCGTGCCCAGTATGATGTGTACGTGTGTGTGTGTTTGTGTATTTATATAGACACGCTGAAATCAGTGTCTATGATAATCGATTTCCTATCTATCGTTGTACATTGTTGCCTACTGTCTCTCTCTTCGACTGCGGTACGCACTCACAGTTTCATGTTTTATTTATAAATATTTACTGAAGGCGGCTATGTTCGTTCGTTCGTTGCTCACCTCGCCGTTGTGCTTCATAAATATTGCACATGGTATTATTATATTTCTCTTCATTCGATCTTTGCCTGAATTGATGTGATGTTTTCAAATTATTGTTTATTGACCCAAAAATACGAAAGAATTGCATGTTTCTGCTGCTTTTTTCTTCCTCTGTTGCGGTTGGTATTTAGCGAACGAATTTATACGTTGGCACATGGCCATCATCATATTATATGAAATAGAAGGTTCACGCGACTCGCGGTCACTGTTCATTTGGCTGGGGTGGTTATTCGCTTCTGCAACGTGATCGATTTAGCTCGTGGCAAATGAATACAAATTCATTCAAAATCTTGCTGGGTGTTGTTGCCACTCTATGTTTGGCCCATTCATGCGCAACACGCAAAAAAAAGTGCCTACAAGAACGCATCAATTCCAAAACCATATCGGAATTTCGGCGTAAAACTCCGAATTAAATTAGCTCATATTTCATTAGTCATGCTGTAATTTCATCCGGATGGATTTTTTTATCTTCATCGTTCTTCTTCTTCTTTTTTTCGTAAATTACATTTTCAGATGCCTGGTTTAATTGTGTTTCGTCGACGATGGTCCGTTGGTTCGGATGATTTGGTCGTGCCTGGGGCATTTATGTTCACAGTTCACTTCATTTGGTGAGTATGAATCATGATTTTATTTTCTACTACTATCGCTGCTGATGCTACTGATGCTCTTGTTGATTTTGGAATAAAAAGCTCGGATTTTGTCTGATTTATCGGCTAAAAGTTGAGCCGAGAAGCGGAAACATATTTCCTCTTTGCTTCGCAAAATGTTTGCATAATCAACATTCATATGACATATACAAAACTGATGGTGATGTGTAGCCACAGTGCACACATCACGTCCAGAGTACGATGATGCATCTTTCGTCGAGTCTCTGCCAAAAGAAAAATAGCGAAAGCGAATGAGATTGAAATGAATGAAAAGGCTAATCCACATCTGTATCTTTTGTCACATTCACAGGCTTATCATTTTGTCGTTGTCAGTTATATACTTAGAATATGATCGGTCCAACAAACCCATAGAGCTGTTGTTTTTCTATAAAATCGGATATATTTGCATACTTGTTGGTAAGTTATTTATCCAATGGCATGACATGTCGATATTTTTCAATCCTTGAGGAAAATATCCCCAGCATGTTTTTGCAAAACAATCAAAAATTTATCGAGTTGAACTTTCTCTCTATGTGTGTGTATGGAACATTAATACAAAAACCTCTTTTGCACTTTTTGTCCTGTCCATCCATTTTACGTGTCATACAGTTTCGATGTGTATAGAGCTTGGAATATGCATAATTTCAATGCGAGGAAGCATTTTGGATACAACGCCAAGAGTCAACATTCATTATTGGCTCTACGGCAAACTGAGTAAGTTTATATTCCATTCTGTTGTTTTATTTTTTTTGAAAAATAATTAACGGACGACAATTAGACGAAGCAAGCGAACGAAGCACGAGCGGGATGAGTGTGGGCGGGAAGAGTGACCACAGGTCACATTGGCAATTTGCGATACGAATGGAAACGTTTTAACCCGCTTATTAAACAAACATTTGGATTATTTATTGATGTTACATAAAATAAAAACAAGTGCAATTTCGAATAAAATCAATCATCTAATGAATTTGCACCAGTTTTCATCTAAATGTTGAAATTATTAAAACAGAAAATTGCATTCAATCTTCTAAACAATTATATGTGAACCAAATTTTAGATTTCCCAACACTCGTTCGACGCAAAACATAATAACACAACCATAACCACCACCATGACATTTCGATCGATATATCGATTCGATTCACATTAACACATCGTTATTGAATTAGTTGCTTTGGAAAAAAGTCATTTCTTTTCACTTCTAATCCGATTTTCCTTCGCTTGTTTGTTTCTTCTTTGTTTTTCGTTTCCATTTTCTGTGACTGATGATTCCGACATGACATGGTATTGGAAACGTTGATTTGCTTTGCTTTCTGCCGATGCCGCCATCGTTTCGCAGTTATGATTATCGTTGATGTAGCATGGCTCACATTGGGCGTGTATTGGCTCATCAAATTCTATATCATCGTTCAAATTGGCGAAGCCAGAGAAATTATGCTTGGTAAGTAAAAACCGCACACCGACTTTTAGTTGGCGGTTGGACACACTTCTCAATCGTATTATCGTTGAAAATTATGAAGGATGAAGTTTCACTGAATATGACACTCATACTGTTATGAATCACAGCGCTATTTACTCAAAGAAGAAACTTTCTCTTACTCATATCTCTTGCCTTTTTCACTTTATTTCGGTCTATTTTATATATAGGATTAGTCATATGTAGCTGGGCCGTAATGCTGAGTATTTTGATAACAATTTGGTGTACGTTCGACGCAGCCGGACGTTCTTGGGTGAAAATGAAGAAATACCAACGGTCAATGCGTGAGTCTGAATCAAGATTCAATTATAAACGCAGTGGTAGCATGAATCGCAACTGGAGACAAAGGTGTGTAGTTAATCTAATCTCAAGCATCTTTCATATCAGTTATTGAATCTTTTAGCAATTAAATTGCGGGTGAAATTCGGAAAAATTCATTGCAAACAAAAGCACGTCCAATTTCATTTCTCAGTAATATTTTTATGGTTTGGTTTTTCCGTATAGGAAAGTGATTCGTGCTTATCAAGACAGCTGGGATCATCGGTGTCGTTTACTGTTCTGCTGTATGAGTTCATCGGAGCGAAATCACAATTCATTCGCTGACATAGCACGATTGCTGAGCGATTTCTTCCGTGAGTTGGACGTTGTGCCATCGGATGTCGTTGCCGGTTTGGTGCTGTTGCGAAAATTTCAAAAGCTTGAACGTCAAACCATAGTCAGACAGGTAATTGGGTAAAACTTATTTAATTGATTTGATTACACCGCAACTAATCGAATAAACTTTATTTCATTCCGCTGCACACAAACACACACACACACACAGAAAAAGAACGGAACTTATGAGTTTTTGAGTGGTGTCCCAGTCAACGAACGTACACGATTCCTTAGACTTAACGATCCCAAAGACTACGAACATTTTCAGGTAAAATCACACACACACACAGTGGTTGCTACGCGCTCGTATACCACATACCCTAATTTGATTATAATGTAATTTGGTTTTCATATTTTCCAGATGGTGATACACTTTATGCACTATGCCCTGAGCGCATATGGTTGGCCTATGTTCTTAATGACACACTCAAAGACTGGAATGTGTCAATTGTGTACGAAAGTTCGATGCTGTTGTTTCTCTTGTTGTCGCAGTAACAAAGAAACCACCGATATTATCGACGATAATTGCTGCTACTGCAATTATGCGGCGATGAAACGAATGCTGAAAATGACCGAAGCCGAAGTGATTTATACAACGTTTCACGTGGATGTAGGTGAAACGCCATTCTTTGTGGCCGTTGATTATAAGAAAGAAAAGATTGTGGTCAGTATTCGAGGGACGTTGAGCATGAAGGACGTGCTCACCGATTTAAATGCCGAAGGAGAGGTGTTACCACTTGAACCACGTCGTGACGATTGGGTCGGACACAAGGGAATGGTTCAAGCTGCCGTCTATATACGAAATAAATTGGAAGACGAGAATTTGTTGCAGCGAGCCCAACAGCATAATCTCGAACGGAAAACAGACCAATTTGGATTGGTGATTCTCGGACATTCACTAGGTGCTGGAACAGCGGCCATTCTTTCGATTTTGCTAAAACCACAATTTCCATCATTGCTATGCTATAGCTATTCGCCACCCGGAGGTATACAGTCACTGTTTTATGTCATATTAACTATCAAAATAGTCATTGCTCCATTTTTCCAACTGTTTTACTTTAATACCATGTTTTTTCTACACTTTTCTAATGTTGTTTTTTTCGCTCTATTTTCTCTGTATTTTCCTTTTGCCGCCGTTGTAACCACAGGATTACTGAGGTAAGAATTTCATATTGTTCGCTCAAGCACAATTGTCTTGTTGTTTTTTTTTCGAGTTTTAAAACTCGGCCAAGTGCTTATCAAAGCCACAGTAATATTTTTCAATGGCAGTAAACTCAAAGAGCGTTTATTTTGTTTCTCTGTTCACAGTATGCCAGCAGTTGAGTACTCAAAGTCGTTTATAACATCGGTAAGACTCGTTATATTTTGAACTATCATAAATCCAAACTTAACGATCATTAAAAAGGATTTAAGAGCATTTTGATTCCATTCTTTACAAAGTTTGCATTACATTCTTCCATTCCGCTTTTTTTTTAAACTGTCCAGGTGGTCGTTGGCAAAGATGTTGTGCCGCGCATCGGTTTATATCAAATGGAAGCACTTCGGGCTGATTTGATCAATGCCATCAAACGAAGTGTTGACCCAAAGTGGAAAACTATCACATGCTCGATGATTTGTTGTTGTAATATTGTGCCAACGTCGGTGCTTGAAATGAGCAGTCATGATGCCCATGTAAATAATTACGAACAGGTGAGTTGGTTTGAACAATTTTTGGTTCAAGTGGCTCATTAAAAACTCTCGAACTGAAGAATGGATCTCTCGAACAAGAGTTTCGATAATAATGTGCAAACTTGTTCGGAAAACTAATGAAATTTGTTGAATGTTTTTCAATTTAAGGAGAGATATTCCGCCCGCAAAGCCAGTACCCATCCAAACGATAGTACGATAGCGTTGACACTGCACAATCCACTTTATCCGCCCGGTCGGATAATTCACATCGTTCGACATCATCCATCGCCCGAAGAGTAAGTTGCATCACATCTTTTTCCGTTTGTTTTTCATCAACGTCGCTTCATTTTTCTATGATGTAATTTTCATCACAATTCGCTTTTGGAGAAGAAAAAAACAACTCAATTTAATAATATCTATTCACGCCAATCATTCACTGCTTATTCGCAGAAAATCTCTTTTACTCTACTTTCATTCTCTCGCATTTTCATTTTAATTCGAAAAGAAACTAACTAATTGCTTCAACGCGTAAAACCAATAAAGTTAAACTTTGTAATAATGTTTATTAACATCACCGCTTTTTAAAAACTCAATTATCTGACACTATTTCGCTCGGAAATGTTTCGAGTGAAGTTATTTTAATCTCTCTATGTATCAGGTCAATATCGTAATATTAAAAAAAATAAAAGGAAACTAAAATAGTGTATGTGTGTGCGATGGTCAAAGCGAAATGATAAAATATTTTCCCTTTTTGAACTATATTTAAATACAAAATATGATGAGAAAAAAAAAATCATCAACAACAACAACAACAACCGAAAAACACAACCATAACAAATAAAATATTTTTGGTTTTACAGACAAAAATACGAGCAAGGCTGGAGGTACGATTCAAAATTAAAACTCTAACGAACTGCCTAAAGTATCACAAAATACACATACAAGAAAAAGCATAAACCTAGATTACTAACTAGTGCTTTTTTCTATATCTATCTATTTGTCTATGTGAACAAAAACCGCATTCAAAAATCGCAACTTAGAGACGGTTCTTATTTTACCTCTCCAGTTTCTATTTTGGTTTATATCTGTTTTTGAAATATTCTTCCTTATTAGTCCTGAGTTGATGGCTTTTTCTCGTTTGAGAACATGACTATGTATATTTGTTGAGCTCTAGTTATATTATATGAAACAATATTATTTTAACTCGTAGTAGACTTTTAGTGATGGGTTCTTGTACTCTTTTTTTTGGAACAGTTTGCATAGAGTAACGAATTCTAGTTTAAAATTGAAAATTAAAAGTTTGCCAAAGTAACGTACATATATATACATATAAGTGAACCATCTAATCAAATTTTGAATGCAAAACGGGTTATTTGTGAGAAAAGCCAGAAAGTGTTGTTGAAAACTCCTCTGTCGATTTTACCTCTCTCCCGATATATATACATATACCTCTCTTTCTCTCACTGTCTCTGTCTCTGTCTCTCTTTTTCATGCATGTGACCCGGAAAACCATTGAGATTGAAAAATCTCTGTAACTTCTATTCGCCTTTTGAACGAGAAAATTTCATGGTTGAGTGCATGAAATAAATGTGGCTGATAAAGCGGTTGCGATTAGAATATATAGTCTGTAGAAGTTGTTGGAGAGGATACTGGGAATTTCGTGTGCAAATCAAAATTTGGCATTTGTATAATTGGACCGAAAACAGGAGGGTTGTGTGAATGAATGAGGCTCCATTTGATTTTCTATACTCATACCGAATTAATAATGCATGTTGGTTTATATTTGTATTCATCTAATATTTGGAGCGTGAAAACTTCAGGCCAGGGAAATGTGTGTGTGTGTCTATTCTTTGATTCAGTTTGTCTTTCGAAAATCGGAGACAAAACAAACAAAGAATGTTGAACCAAGGAAGATGACGAAGAAAATCGAATCAAATTGGTTGACATTTCCCGGGGTGATAAGATGAAGGTCGCTCATTTGGCTGTTTTTGCTGTGTGGAATTTCATATTAAAATATTCGTTCATTATTAATTTAGTGGGCATGAGAAATTAACCATTCCCTTTTTATATACTATATTTGAAATCATTTTTATTGCTCTCTCTCTCTCTCTTGTTTGCTCTTTTATTCCTACTATTAACTCACATAAATATAAAACATCCATTTTGTGCGATTTGGTTTTCTCTCCTTTTATGCGTTCCATTCCATTTTTGAAAATCCACCAATGACATGAAGAGAAAGAAAGAAAATTTATATTTTTCCAATTCATCGTAAATTTTGCTTGTTATTCCATTTTATTCCGACTTCATCGTCATCGTCCTCGTGCCGGAATTACAGACAAGTATTGAAGACACATGAGCCGGTCTATCAAGCCATCTGGGTGGATAACATTGATTTCGACGAAGTGCTCATTTCACCAGCCATGATCCAAGATCATATGCCAGATACAGTGCTCGCTGCGCTTAATAAAGTAAGTAAAAATGGTTCAGTTTTATGTATACATCCTTATCACCATACCCAATGTGTATTTTATGTACGCTCTGCTCTCATTTCACTCTCCTTTACAGCCACAATTATTTGCCGTTTTTATTATTGATTTGTTGTTGTTTTTGTTTTTTTTTCTTTTGTTTCGGTAGTAATACTTTCGCTTTTACTCTTACTCACACTTTATCCGCTGTTTTTACACTTTTTCTCACTCACTCAGAGATGTTCTCTGCTAGAAACCGTGTTATGTAGACATTATGTTGTGGTATGTGCACTGTGTGTTTTGCGTGTTAGTGCAAATAAATTTCATAAGCAAATCTATGTATGATTTGCATTTTCTTTTGTTTAACTTTTTGTTTTTTTTTTCTTTCTCAAAACCTTTGTTCGCACTCTATATGTATATTCAATGTTTACACTTCAATTCGACTTAACCATTTCCTCGGTGTGTTTATGTGATATCAAACCGAGTTTATCATTTTTGTTTTGGTTTTTATGATTTTCTCGCACACCATGTTATGCGAAGCGTTTTTCCGTCATGAAAAGACTTAATAGGACCTCCATCATACTTGAAAGCACATCTAGTATCATATCCAAATAGACTTTATCCCCCCCCAAAAAAAACTCGTATCAACATTTACGATCATTATGAATGACGCTGTTTACCGTTTGTAGCAGAAAAAAAAGAAATTCCGTTTTTGTAGTCATCTGAGCTTAATTCGCAAATTACTCTTTCTCTCTCTATCTCTTTCATTCTATATTCCTGAATGCTCCACTGTTTTGCTTGTTTGTTGCTTCACACTCTCACTTTATATCTTTCCATTCAGTTGCTTTTTTATTCTTCCACCTCCCTTCGAATCTATCTCTCTATAGCTCTTTTGCTCCTTCCCCTCCGAACAATGTTTTCGAAACGATTTTCTAACTGTGAGAATGTCATACGATTGATTGAACAAAACAACTTCTTCAACAGTAATTTGATAAACCTGAATGAACATTTCCATATCAGATTTTTGCCATTATACATATTCTATTCGTGTAGGCTTTAACTAATTTTTGTTCTGTTACCAGAAAATACGACAAATTATATACAAAATATTTGATTGAAAAGGGCGTTCGCCCGCCAAAAAACAAAACAGACAACAACAACAAAACAATACAAAAAACCAAAAACCAACTTGTGTGATTCATCTCTAATTTGATTAAAAAAAACAAACATCTCTCTATCTCTCTTCATTCTGTGCATTCAATATTTAACATCACATGACACAAATTGTATTCTGTAGGTAGTTCATTTCAAAGATCGGCCTCTAAAATACGCCAACAATTGTACGGGCTCTACAGCTACCTTAAATTCGATATCCAGACCCATTTATGATACCAGGTACTTGATCAATTTATTTTTGTTATCATTTTATTTTCGTTTATCTTATTTCGTTTCGTTTTGTTTCGTTTTTTTTTTACATGTTTTGTTTGATTTTTCTGTTTTATTTTTATCATTTTTGTTTTTGTTCCGTTGGTTGGATGGATGCAATCTATTGATTTTCCCTTTATTTGGCGATTGAGTGTTATATACATAACCAAAAATCCAATTAATATCTAAAAATAGCGTTTTATATAGTCTGGAATGAACGTCTCTGTTTCGAATTTGAAAATAAAATAAAATAAAATAAAAGGTTGGAATTACATTTTGTTAGCTAAATAATTAATATCCGACGTAAAAATACCCCTCAATCCATACTCTCTCTCTTTCGTACAGAGTGTATGATATAATCATTAAAGAGATTTAGTTCGTAGAAACGAGTTTAGGTAATTAACTAGAATCTTATATACTCTCTCTGTGTGTATTGAATTTCAGTTTGAGTTCCGTTCTGTTGTTTTCTTCATTCTGTTAGTGTTTATTCAGTTATAATTTGATTTTCTATGTGCTTGAAGTCGAAAAATAACGTGATGATTTTGACACCGTACATTGACGAGCAAGAAATGTCGTTCATGTTTTTAAATTTAAATCAGTAACTACGTACTCGTTGAGTTGTGAATTTCTAAACTGACTTAGAATAATAATACGTTCATTTTTTGTTAAATTTTTCACGTTAGAAAATAGTTTAGTGATTTTGTTGTTACCTTAGGCCACTCTTCATTTTTTTTTGCCGTCCAATTTTTATTTAGTAGTGAAAAAAAACAATTACTCAACAAATTCTTTTCCCAAGCATCAATAACATCCAAATGAAATCGCACGAATCTTAGTTGTTGTAGTTGCAAAAAAAAATCGATAATTTAATTAATCCAAAATAGAACTATTAGCATCATTGCAAATGGTCAAATCAAATTAGCCGTGTCTTATTAATTCACTTTCGATAAGCACGTTCGTCCTTGCGATTACATACCCATACATTTAGATAGACTGTGTCGTCTGTCCAAGTAGATAATTGCTCATGTTTGTTTGTTTACACGTTGTCTCAATCAATATATCTATCTCTCTCTCTCTCTTTGTCTCTCTTGTTGTTTCTGGTATGTATTTGATGTGGCTTTGAAGCTTAATTAAACGATGTTGTTTGCGCTTTGATTATTTTTGTAGGTTATAACAACGCACGGCCCACGCAAGCCTCAACGTCAATCTTCGAATGTTAATTTGTCAATTGAGTCGGATTTGAATGATATGATGATGACGCCAAATTCGCAACAAGTGTGCTTAGAAACATCGTTTACATCATTGCAGAGTCCTGGCGTTGGTGGCGAACCATTCCCATTAATTTCATGTTCAAGCAAAGCATCATCGATGGCTGGCAGTTTGTTCAGCCGTAGTCAGTTAAATTCCATATTGCACTATGATGCGGGTAGCACACACGATGAACACATGATTGGGCGCAGCACATCAGCCGGTCCGAGCGAGGCAACCACTGTGATATTAGCCGATCACTCGAATCGAACGAAAAGTGTTGCATTCGATATAAAAAGTTCAGGTCCATCCACAACATCACCGTCACCCAATATCTTCTTAAAAAGTATTTTACATCGACAAGCGAACGAGGCGAAAAAGAAAGCGCCCGTTGAACCGCCACCAGCGCCACCGTCCAAACGACCAACACCGCGGAAAATTGATTTTGTCCAAGACGATTGGATTGGTATTGCACCGTTGGCCAGTCCGGAAACACTCTCCGAAATATCCAGCATCAGTTCACGAACTAGTTTGGCATTCAATTTGGCATCAAGCATTGAAAACTATTTGCATCGGCTCGCCTCGCCACCAGCAAACCATTTCAATATCGATAATAACGAAAATGATCTCATGGAATCTCAGCTACATACACCGAAAGTGATGCGCAGAGCACCGAAAATTATCGGCAATCTGTCGACATGCGCCGATGATTGGCAATCCGTGGACAAGTATAAGCGAATGGGTAAAATTTTCATCACAAATCCAGTGCCTTTGTTAAGCAGCGATTCGAGTGGCGACAGTTTTGAGTCAACGCATAGTCTTACGAAAAAATCCATGCGCTGTACAACGAATGCCGCCAGCGAAAATTCCAAATCGGCCGATAATTTAGACAACGATCGTACACCGATCAGAAATGCATCGATTAGTACAAATAAGTTGACGATGAGCGACAGTGCCATACTGGATGGATGCAATTCCAAGTGTCCGCGATGCCCGTGCATACGGTCAACAGTATTGTTACGGGTACAGTGTTGCCGACGCAGCGATCACAGTTGGTGCATGGAAATGCCGGATGAGCCACAGAATCAGACCAGCTCAAGTGACACCTATCATAGTGCATTCTCATCGTTGGCAACCATCGAAACTTATCCGCCACAAACCATTTTACGGCCATTGCCAAGTGGCGTACTTGAATCACACTTTGAATATCTACCGATTTATACGGATAATACACCGAATGAATCCACTTCATTGCTACCGGCGTCGATGCGTTCACCGAAAATCGTCAAAAAGATGGACAAACCGGTGAACAATGGCAACAAAAAGGATGCCGGTTTCAAGCGATATGCCAACGAATATGAAAACGAACGGCGCACCACACGCAACGACTCTCTTCCATTGCTAGCTAATTTAGTCGAGCGAAGTTCACCAAATAGCTTTAACCGACGCAGAAACCACACTGTTTATCCAATCACCTCATCACCGCGATATTCACCATCCAAACGTACCGAAAGCAACGTATAAAGATGCGACATTTGCACGGCGTGCATAACCCCAGATAGTATACCAGTAGCCATGTAATCCAATAAGTAGAGAAATCATTCTTTTTGTAGAAGAAATTTAAAAATCACATACAACTGTGCTCATTTAGTCATTTTATTGTGCCAAACTTAACGAGCAAATTTGACACTCTCAAAGACGAACAAAAGAAGTAGGAGAAAAAAGAAGAAGAAGAAATAAGTCCTCGCACGCTTTATTTACACACGTCGAGAAACATACATATATATCGTTTATGTGAATGATACAAATCGGCATCGTCTCGAAATATGTGAATTGTTTTGTTTTTTTGAGAAATGAAAACAATGTGTATCTTAATTTTTCAAGAGATTGGTCTATAGATACAAAAAAATTTAAAATGAAAATGAATATATAAAAGAAAATTGTTTGAATTAGACGTTATTTATGAAAAAAGAATATTTAAGAAAAGAAAAACAACAAAAAAACGATCGACTGGTCGATTACAGAAATACTGTGTGATTTTTATTTATTGTTTTTTTTTTGTTTAGACTTTAACTTATTTTTTTCTTTCATCGGCAGCTATTCTAATTAATTTTGCAATCAGCTCGGAAATAAGACAAATTCATGAACGTTTTTTGTGTTTGCAATTAAATGTATGAATTTATATGAACAAAAAAATGTCATTTTTCAACTTGATATTTAAAATGAAGAATTTTTTTTTTAATTATCAAAAAAAAAAACACAATAAAATCCATGACGATTGGTTTCATTCAAGCGACGATAAAAAAAACAATACAATTTTACAATAAACAAAAGGACAAAAAACAATTGCTGTGTAGTTTAATGTTGGATAGTGAAAATGTTTTAAAATGTAATGCCTATTGTCCATCCTCGAAATAGTTATATCGACCCTTGGGAAAACTAGAAATAGTTCAGATTATTTGGAAATCGTAGATCAAATCATGTTAATCCATCAAATTCTATACCATTACATATACACATAAATTATCGAAAACAGAAATTACTCAAAATCAATTTTAAAATTTCCTTCCGATAACATCAACATTGATTCTAAATTTTTCTTACAAGTCGTTTGATACAGAAAAACCAACATATTCAACAGTTCACGATTAAATTCAATATCTCTTTTTACGTAACTTGATCTACAAATCTTTCAATTATTGCAACATTTTAGTGAAATAAATCGAAAAAAAAAACAAAACAAAAGACACACAGAGAGCAATTCTTTGAGTCATGATGAACATTTATTAATTATATATGGTGAACGAGATCTTTATGTTTTTAGTTTTTAGTGGATGCTGTGCAATTACCGGATCGTTTACATTAAGTAAACAATAAAAAAATTTAATAAGAATAATGAATAAAAAAGAATCTTTTTATAAATTGAATTTACCAAATAAGTGCAAGTGTTTATTTTAGTTTAGTAGAGAGTTGTATTCAATAAGACTTGTGACATAACAAATAAATTACATCTATTTGCAAATCAAAATCGGTTTCCGGTCATTTCTATGTAGGTTGGAACACATCGTGCGATTTTTTTAGACTTATGGACGAGATGAGAAAAAAAAGCCCTTAAAATTTGTTTCGCGAAGAAAAAAAAAAACACGTGGATTACCGTTTAACACTGCCATAGAATTGAACGACATCATAAATTGGTTCCATCATTCAGAATACTTCAAATGGGGAGCTCTAAATTTTGATGGTACAGTTTTTCGCGCTCTGCTTCATGATCTGTTAAAACTGAGAAAGAAATTGGTTGAAATCTTTTTAAACAAAAAAAGGCGTTGAATACACAAAAAATAAACAAAAGGACAATGGTATACTCAACACAGTGACCTCTGGTAAAATGTGTGCAAACTGAACGACCACAAAGGATGACACAATGTTTATTTTTGACATAAGCTATTCAGTGTCAAATCTTTCTGTAGTGAAGCATTTTTTTTTCTCAAGAAATTATTGTTATACTTTCTAAAGATGGATTGTAGTTTTGTACGGGCTTGTCAACCACATGAATTTTTAATTTGCAGCGTCGGATGCCATGTACCAATCATTCACTATATGATTTGTTTGGATAGGGTCGGTTTATTTAAGTTGAAATATCCTCTTTCGGAAATTGACAATCCCACAGTATCGGCTATATTTTTGTTGAATTTCATCACATGTAATACACAATTTCTTTCATTTTCTTTTCTAACTTGGAATCAATCATTTTCATTGGTGTGATTTCTTTACCATTTCAGTTTATCTTTTGCCGTTAATCTTAATTTTCATTCCAAAATTGAGAAATCGTTTTATTAAAATATGTATTCATTCATGTTGGCATATTTGTAATGAGCGAAGTAATGTTTTGGGCAGCAGTGAACGTCACACTAAATTTCCTACCAAATCGTGAAGAAGATAGCTGGTCCTTTTGGCAACTTACCGCACTTATTGTGCTCAATGTTTTTTACATGATAACCAATGATGCGATTCATTTCCAGTGGATTTACTACGACATTCGTGGAGGTGCAAGGGTATGTGAAATGAGCGTATATTCAATTATTCACCAAACAACAAAAATGTGTTCTTTCTATTCAATTTGTTCTAGGTGAAACAAGTGGTGAACACTCTAATAATAAAAAATATATTTTACCTTGTACAAATGTGTCGCTGAGCATAAAAATGGGAATACAGATCTGTTACAGCAACAACCGAACATAAAATATTGTTCCCCAAAAACATTACATGAATTTCCATCTAACGCGAGTGTAACATGAGTTGTATTAGAAACAGTATTAGCTCATGTTACACTTGCGTTGGATAGAACTTCATGTAACGTTTTTAGGGAACAATATTTTATGTTCGGTTGTTGCTGTAACAGATCTGTATTCCCATTTTTATGCTCAGCGACACAAATCATTTATTTGGTCGGAATAAGTATATCCTATTGGTATGGCCTATATTCGTCCCTGCATTGGGTCATAATCATGATGTTGACGATGAATCGTGAGTTCTAAACGGTTTTTTGTTATTTTAAACAAATGTTTAGCTGTGTCTTTTTCTATACAGATTGGATTGGTCGAAATTAATGGGCAGGAGTAAGGGACGATCCAAGAATTTTGGAACATCCATTCTTCATACATATTCGTGTATCTTCTTCGTTTTATCAAGCGTGTATGTTTCTTCTTGTGATTGCATGTGCAATGATGATGCTAGATTATCAACAAAGAAAAACACCCCAAACTCATACAACCGGAAAGTAAAGGAAATGGACCAATCCTAATTCAAGTGACGCTCTATATTTGGTCAAGTGGTACTGATATGATACTTTCGATATATTTGTCAATTGCTCAAATCAACCCATTCACACATTTATACTTATGCATTTATATGTCCTTTAATTTTCTAGGCCGTGAGTTTTGCTTAATATACTCAGATTTGCTCCAATCTCTCTGAAAATTGAAAAATTTGTGTCAATTCAAAAATCGGCATCATGGACCGCTTTATAAACAGTTGAGCTGTCGAAAAAGAACCAAACCACACAAAAACTAACAAAAAATAAGAGCAGTAACAACAGCCAGCAAGCCACTTTTATGGCCGCTGATTATTATTATTGGTGGGTGCGGAAAACAAGCGCTAAAAAAACATATGAACATTTCTTTTGCGGAATAACGTTCCGTTTTCAAAATTTATTTGCTTTGCCTGAGCGGAGCTGTCAAAATTGAATGTGCATACGAGTGGCTGCAACTTTCTCATTGTCGCTGTGACACTTAGTGAAACGTCAAAATAGTGAAATCGAATGGAAAGAGAAACGAGTTGAAAACAGCGGTCACCGTCTCTGAAGCCACTCAGTACAAAGTTTATTTTGATGGGAAAATGCAAAACTAAATATAGAACCACTAATCTAAAGTGCATAACATCCGAAAGCGTAGCAAATTGTTTGAAAAACCACTTCCATCAGCACAGATCACCAGTGAATGATGCTGATAACACGGACAATATTGTTAAATTTAAGGCGAAAGTTTAGCGATTCAGCTGGATTGCTGACGGTAGAATCGTTGTGCAATGAAGATAACCAGATCAAATGTTTGGAAAAGATGACGGCGGCTTCAAAGAATACGACGATAAAACTGCATCCATCGGTCAAACTAGCCTCAGTGTTGATTCCAATAGTAAAATGCGAGAAACCAAATGACGAACCATCACTGTTATACACATTGCGGTCAAACAAATTGCGAAAACACATAAGCCAAGTGTCATTTCCAGGTAGTAACCACAATCAAAGATAAAATCAAAGTTTTCTAATCGCATGCACTTAGTGACAATGCGTTTAATTATTATTTTTCGTTTGAAATATAGGTGGTATCATGGAAGAACACGATGAATCATATATCGATTGTGCCTTGAGGGAAACGGAAGAAGAGATCGGAATCGGACGAGATCGGATAACGGTGTGGGGGTCAACGCATTTGGTGCATTTACGAACTGCACCAGCAATAATGCCGGTGATCGGAGTGATACGAGACTATAACAGCGATTTGTTAAAACTCAACGATCGCGAAGTGGAACGAGTGTTCACGGTGCCACTGTCCGAATTAGCAGCTCAAAAACGACATACACAATTCCGCATGATACCTCGAAATGTCAGTCATATATCTGATCATACCACAACTTCAGGCGCATACAGTCTGCCCGTGTTTACCGTGAACGAGGCCCGTGTCTGGGGCATTACAGCAATAATTACACATCTATTTTTACAATCACTTTTGCCCGCACAGGTGTATGACAAACAAATTCCATTCATAAAAAAATACAAGTAAACCCAACGTGTTCACAATGACGATAAATTGTTTATTAGATAATTGCATACGCAGAAAAAAGTTCAAAAAAAAATTTCGAGCTCAGTCATTAATTACTTACAATGTTTCACAATGAAACGAAACGTTCGTTTTTTTTTAGGAAAGGACGTTTTCTTTCTTCTTGGCAAAATGTATAAAAATACATAACTGTAAATACAAAAACAAAAACTCCAATAAAAACACATCATACAGATCTAAAGCGTCTATGTTTTATTTTCATTTTCCAAAGTTAAAATTAAACAAATTAAACGAAACCAAAATGAAATGACCGAAAAGAATAAGATTTTTGAACTTATTTTGTATATCATTTCAATGAAGAGAAACGAAGAGCAATAAACTCAGAATAAAATCGTTATATTTGTTGTTTTTTTTGTCCTTATAAGCACTTAATTTGTTTGTTTCCATTTTTGGATAATAATTGTTTACAAAGTTTCATTTAGCTGACAAACTAAAGTTGAGCCAACTTAAGAAGAGAGATAAAGAAAATATTTTTTTTATACCACTAATAATATATAGTAAAATTGAATTGCATTTATTCAACGAAGGCATTTGCTGTGATCAATTTATATATTAAACTTTGTTTCTTTCGTTAATTCGATGATAGTTTTTTTTTGTTATTTATGACGGAGATGCTTTTATGTTTATTTTGTTTTTGTCTAGTGTTCGTTTTTTTTGCTTCTTGTTCTTATAAAATTGGCGCTATCACTACGTTTTATAATGTATTTCTATGTATGTTGATTCTCTTAAAAAGAAGAAATCCTTCTAAAATACGCGTAGTAAAAAATTTTTACCGTTAATTCTATATTTACATGTCAAACACTTTTTGAATAATAACATTAGTCTTCGCGATGTTTGCGATATCAAAATTGGTGTCAAAAATTTATCCAGAAAAAAAGTGAATTTTCTAAAAAAAAAAAAAAAGAATAAAAATTTCTAGCGATTTTGAAGCAATATTACATTTGGAAGAGTTTCACGTGTTTTCCATTATTAAACCTAGCCAAAAAAAAAGAAGAAGTTTGACGTTCAAAGAACCTTAAAATTTGATCGACAGTTTGTTATTCCAAAACTTCTGGAATCCAGAAATCTTCTGGATCAGAAGTGATACTAACAAGTTGTTAGTAACAACTGGTGTGTCTCTCTTTCAACCAAAAAGAAAATAAAATCGAATTTTGCATTCATTTTTTTCTCTTCAAACGAACAAAAAAGACATTCATGTTGGTAGGCATTTTTTGTTTGTTTCTGTTTTGTTTAAATCTAAAGTACTTTTTGTTTGCATTTGCATTGTTTTTTTTCTTCATATTTGTACGTATTCTATTCGAATAAGGCGGAGATGTAGATTGGACTTAGACAACATTCGCTTGTTGTTCGCAATTTTATTTTACTCATTCAATTATTTTGATAAATTTTTGTTGTTTCACTCAGTTGCAACTGTTCAGATGTTTTATTTTTCTTTAAATTTCCACTTAATTCTGTATTCGCTACTCTATCATGAAGTATACATAATTATATTGTTTGCATTTAAATAAAAGGCGAAAAAAAACATTTAAGCTATTGCTTGCATTGGCCTCGCATTACATAGTCCATATTAAATGTGAAAATGTTTTTTTTTTTGTGTAAATATGATTTGATATTTTAGTTGATCCATTATTTTGTTGTGTTTTTTTCTCTCTTTATTCTTGAATAAATTTGTTTTATTTCATATAGTTGTTGTATTCTTTGTTGTCGAATTATTGCCGATTGCAATTGCGATTGCGATGGTCTTGGTGTAGCAGCTGTAGAGAGACGCGTGGCGGGCGTTCCTAATCGACAATATCGATCGCTGGAAATTAGAAGAAAAATAACAGCCATTAGTCATTTGCTATAGAAAAAAGAGAAAAGACAATGCTAGTAGTAGCAGACTCACGGATTGACGTTGTAAATGTTGGTGTTTCCAACTCTTCGTGCTTTTTCATTTTCAGCATCTGCATTGGGACAATAAAAAAAGAAAATGTTGCGTTAGTTTTCGCATTTTTATGATGACATAAACCATGTTCCAACAACACATAAAGATGAAGATGAGCGACGCCGACTAATTTGTGCACTTTCTGAATGGGTCAATAGCAAATGAGATTGTATGTGTGATGAACACAAATTACAAAAACTAACAAAAAAAAAATAAGAGCAGTAACAACAGCCAGCAAGCCGCTTTTATGGCCACTGATGATTATTATTGGTGGGTGCGAAAGACAAGCGCTAAAAACACATGAACATATCTAATTTTGAAAAGTGAACTTTTGCGAAACGTAATTATTCTTTTGAAGCTGCAATTTTATTCGAGCGTTACACAGTTAACACATAACATTTGTTTGTTTGTTTGTTTTTTATCGGTACCTTGTGATCACCTTTCGACTTGTGATTTTTCAAACAAGTGGATTTGTTCATTTTTTTTTATTGAGCGACAGAGAGACGAGAGACGAGCGAGTGAAAGACAAAAGGAAACAATCCATTAAAATTCATTGTAAATAAGAAATCGCTCGCAATAATTAATTCATAATTTCAAATGTTACATGATGAATCCGAGGATTCAACGTACCTGCTGAAGTTTATAATGATTTATGATGTCTTGGTCGGCTGGGCACGACTGTGTGAACGCATCCAATTGATACATGTGATACATGTACCGCCACAATGCTGTCAGATGAACCTGTGTGGATAAACCAATGGAATTTCGATTAAATATTGACTCAACGCCAAGTAACGTGCTCAAGTGTGACATTCAATTGAACAAGTCATTTTTTTTTCACATCAAGCACATTCTTCAAGTGGAAATCAATTTCAAATATTTCGAAGAATGCCAATCGATGGAATATTCGAAAATAGCAAAACAAGTTTGTAAATGAATCGATTCATCACTTGGTGAAGTTGTTAAAATGCACTTGACATGCGTTAGTCGCAGTTGAAGGGCAAACTTACGGGAATTTCAAAGTCAACAAAGTATTTTCCGGCCACTCGAATGTGTTGGAGTCGTGGCATGAGCTCACAGTCGAAACAGCACATTGTGTCACCGGTCAAGAAACGTGTGCCTCTTTGTGCCAAATGGTCATTGATCTTTGTTAAATGGCCTAACAATGCATTATTTTTCGTTTCATCTTTCTTCACCAGCATCAACTTTAACTTTGAATATATGTTCTCGATCAATGTGGCAACCTCTTTATCCTATAGACAGACAGAATTGAAGAAAAAACATATAAATAAATGAGATTATCGTTTCAAACCAGCATATCGTTTTGTTGGTTTAATTTTTCTTTACTCTTGTCATTTAAATTCCGCAGTTTTATGGGATTGATATAAACAAGTAGATCGTTTTCGATCGCATATTAAAATCAAAATTGTCGTTGTATTTTTACAAAATTGTGTAGACAAATTATAAAACTTGCGTAAAAAAAATCGCATGAAAAATGTGAAACAAACCGCTATTAAACACAAAAAAATGATTAGTTACCTGTACGAAGAGATTGTAGCCACCTGGAATGCTTTTCATGATGTGTCGTTCGATTTTATCATTTTCCAAGATGGCCAGCCCATTGTCAATCAAAATTGGTGGATGTGTTGCTTCAAAGTTGGTGCGAAAATCTGGCGGCGGTTTTTGCATGTCAACTGTTGTGACCTTTTTTTTTGTTCATGATAATACCCAAAATTAGTGTGAAATCATTGCGTGTGTTATCGTAATTGAAATGTGTAAAATAATGTTCAATGAAAAATGCAAATTGCTTCATTGGTGGCTTACCTTTAAACTGATTGTTTTCAATTCGGCCAACAGATACAAGTCCATGAAATATTCTTGACAGAATAAACATGCTCCTTTTCGTCTACCGTCAATGGTGGATGCCTGTAATGACAAAGTGTTCGATATATTCATGAGTTCATTTCATTTCCCCACATTTCGGGTTTTTGGTATTTAACGAAACAATTGAACCAAATTATATCGTCATTTTGGCTCTGGATATTCGAAGATTATGATTCATAGAGGCGGCTCTATGATGGAGCGACCGGTTTTTGTATTTTCATTGATAAATTGTCTACTTCAATTAACGCTAAATTGTGTTGCTTCACATGTGCGTGCGAGTGAGTCTATTGTATATAGTGTCAGACGTCGGGTTTGGTTCGGTGTCTAAAGCTATTCATATTAATGAATTTATCGGTGTTTGCCAAAGGTGTCGTTAGATTTGTTGAAGGCTATTTGGAAGTCAATAAGCGATTATATAACGACGCTTGTTTCTGTCTCTTTATCACACTTTATGGCCATTTAGTTTTGTATGGTATGACCACATAAGAATCGCATGATAGATATTTCTAGTTACTACACAGGTCATTCATACAATTTCACCATTTAACGAATACCACAAATTCCGTTCAGTTTTTTTTTGTTTTGTTTTTTTTTTTTTCGTTTCATTCCAAAAGAATTCTGGCATTTTTCTTTGATTTGCTTTAAATTTGTTCAAAATTTCTTCATTTTCGTTGCCGTTCGTTGTTTCTGTTGGTGTATTAGTTGTGTTGTGCGCATTCACAAATTGAATTAAATTCGAGTAATTAAAGAAGAAGAAAAGCGAATATAATTGATCGCGTGTTGCATAGTTTTCATGCTTGACCATGCTAAAAAGTACAATTATTACATAGACACAAACTTGTACGATTTATTGCTTTCTCTAGCTGCGTCTCTGTTGTGTACTTGTGCACGTGTGCTGCCGAAATTTGTTTTTCTCTTCTTTTGCGCTTCTCGCTCACTTCATACCTATCTATGTATTTAACTCTAATTTTTTTTTTTTTTTCGTTCGAAGAATCAAAATAAACCTTCTCATCTTTTGTATATTGTTTTTCGTTTTGTTTTGTTTTGCCAATATTTTTTCTACGAATCGCGAGTGTGCGCGCACGTTCGCCCGCACAAATATACATGTGTGGTGATACGTAATTTATCATCATCATATCACCACAGTACCGAAGATTTAGCCCGCCATTACTACTAATCTACTATTACGATATAATAACAATGATTTAACCAACGGTGGTTTTCGTTTGGAAAAAGTAGAAATCTCCACGCGAAAAAGCGCGTATTGCTTTTGCACGCTTGCAAAAAAACCGCGAGCTGTATATATATATATATTAAATGCAAAACAAAGCGCATCTCATCGCCTAGCTTCGAATGCGTTATTTTGTAATTGGAATCGAAAGTTGAATTTTTGCAAACAAATAAAACCAAATCCAACCGAAAACCATTGGCCTTCCAAGCACTCATGTGGAGCGCATATTTTAAGCATCGCACCAAATTTCTAGCGCGAATTATGCCACGAGGATTATCTACGTACACACCTCAGAGAAAAAAAACGCACACACAATTCGAATTGAGCATAAAAAAGATTGAACAATGAAACGAAATGAATGAATAGAAAAGAGAATTCGATTAAATTGAGAAAAAGGCGGTCAGAGCTGAGTGTGCTCTAAAATTTAACGGGAACAAATTGACCTTTGAATGAAGTGAATCATGACAAAAGAACGCATACTATTGATAACGACGCGGTGTTGGTCAATTGCCATTACTTTGCTGTTCATTGTGCAAACACTCGAGTGTAATTAGATTAGCAGCACTCAACCTTCATGTAATGCCATCGATTTTACACACTCAATAGCGCGCCGACGGGATGATAGTGCAAAAAAAAAGCTTTTCTCTTCAGCGTCTGTACGTTTCGATTCAAAGTGTTCACAAGTGAAACTTCAAGGGAAAATTGGGTGAAAATTCAATGTTAACTCAAATCTCATCGTTTGCTTATTTTCTTCTTTTTTTCATCAATTCAATCAAAACGGTTCGAAGGTACAATGAAAAGAAACAGAAAATAATTAGCAAAATTGCCCCTCATTGAAAACTGTAGATTCCGGAACGGATCGAAAATTGAAGATGTAATTAGCATAATTATATTTCCCATGCGATTTCTGTTTATTCGACTAGAAGTAGATTCCAAGTTCTTCTATAACAATCTATCAAGTGGATTTTCTCGGTAGGAAAAAAAAAGAATTTGCTGAATTGATCACGTATTCGATGAGCCTGTATCAGATCATTTGGAAACGCAATCCGTTCGAAAGATTTGCAATCTAGCTGTCGAATCAGTGCAGTTCGTTCTTTTCATTGAAACATCTCAATTATCTTCCAATATTCATTTATGCAAGTGAATTAACGCCGAAAGGTTGATTTTTCTCGCACTCTCACACAACAATGGAAAATACCTTGTCAATGACGCAATTGGCATGCCATCGAAAAAAAGTTATGTACATTTGTACGCTGCTTAGTACACAAGTACATATCTTTTTATCACTTTGGCCAATCTTTTATCACATCGCTAAGCAAATAATTTTAAATCAACTCGGTATATTTGAATTTCCGGAGTTGTTCAAAGCGCTTCTCTTTTGAAGTTTGGCTTCAAGTGTGTATCCAATGAATTTCCGTTAAAATCACCGGATTTTTGTGCTTGTGCGTGGCTTGATTACATTATCAAATATGATCATGAAACATTTTGCGCGCAACGGGCAACCGTGAGAAATGTGCTTTTCGAATCGCCACTTTCAAAGCGTTAAGTACTTGGTTGCACAAATTTGTTCTGACCCGGTGAAAACGTAACGCTATTCGACTTTTGAATAAACAGCGATAACGTTTTTGCCGCGTATTCTATTTTTCCTGCTATTTTAGTTGAGTTTGCCGTTTTTTTTTTGCTGCCATTTAAGGAAGCAAAAATGTGCCTTTTTAACTCAACCGCATTTTTTTTCAGTTATTCTTCATGCTTCATTCACAATAAGAAAAAAAAAATGATTGTGTGTTCTAATTTAAAATGAATTTTTTTCCCTTCATAAATCGACTCCGATGCATAACGAAGTACGGTTTTGACAATCATATTTCACAATGCCCCCATCTGTAATTACGCCTACTTTAGACGAGTGATGAGCATTTTGGAGATGAGTGGAAAACAAAAAAAAATATTGCTGGCACACGCTCGCACACAACGTAATTACATCAGATGCGACTTATAGAAAGAAAGCATCTCGGCATTTGTCGTTGTTGTTGTTGTTGTTGTGTTCGGTGTGGCTCAAGTATTTCCACTTATAATTTGTTTCGTATTATACACTCTTCTTTCTGCGTCATGAATTATCAAATTATAGACTAATCGCATATTATTTTGTGGTGAATATTGTGAATGTCGAAATAGAAAATTCACTGAACTAAATAGAAGCACTTCGTAAGCAGTTTGACGAAATGAGAGAGGCAAGGAAAAACTGGCTGTGTGGTGACAGTGTACAACATTCAAATATACCGTGTGTATCGTTTGGCTGAATGAATTCGCGTTAATCACATGATCTTGTCATGGGTTTGAAATCGTGCGTTCTTCTTTAGTCTGCACACACCATAGTACACTCGACGGTCGAAATTTAGATTACGTGTCGAACGTTTTAATTCTTCGGTCTTGCTCAACAGAAAGAAATAGCCGATCTTAGGAAGATAAACAACAAGGTGATTAATTTCTGCGGTGAGTTGTTGTCGAGTCGCTATTTTGTTGCTGTTATTTGTTTGCCCTTTCGACAAGCGTCACCATGTTTTTTTTTTGCGCAAACTCACTCAATTCTATTTCAAATATTCCGATTTTATATTCCAAATGCCGTCCATTCAGATTTCTTCTTCAGATAGACAAGCTGAAGTGATGTGCATAGAAAGGTGTGCGGTAGATACAATTTCGTGGGCTTTGCAACACTTTCTTTTCAATTAAAAGTGGCCCTGATTTGGCACACGTATGGCGGCCAAACCACATCACAGCCAAAATACAAATCGACAATGCGATTTCGCTGTGTTTTTTTCTTCTGCTTTATTTTGCTGGCAAAAGTTTTTAGTGGTGCTTGAAATTGAGATTCACCATACAATTTGATTGTTTTCATTCTACGGTACGTGACGTTGCATCGAAACAATCGACTGATGGAACGAAACAGCACCGAAAACTTCTCTCGGTCAAAACTTTGGAGCAAAAAAAAAAGTGAGAGCATACTACTCTGATGAATACAAAAGCGGTGCTGTTTCGTTGTTGTTGCGCTGCAATTACCGATTTTCTTTACTTGGTATGCGCTTCACATCGTTTTTCTTTCATTTGTTCAACTATACATTTTCTTTTCTTTCTGTGTTTTGTTTTTCTCGTTGTTGTTGCTGCTGCTTGCAACGCGAAAAACATTCGCCTTGTATTTCACGTGTCTTTGCGTCTATATGTCGATCGGTGGCGATGGTGGAATTTGTGAGTGTGAGTGTGACTTTGATTCATAAGACATTATTTTCGATGCAGAAAGAAAGAGAAAAAAAACGAGAAAACAAAAACCTCAAGCAATTGCAGTGTTTAGTGCGCTCGGTCTTATGGTTGAAATATGTCTCCTGCGTTTCACTCTCTATTTTAGTTAATCACTCTTTGTGTTTTGCCACCGCTTTGCACGTGCGTGTTTTATGCTGTTATGCTATGCTATGCTCTACAAAAATAACATCAGCAACAAAAGTAACAAGCAGCAGCAGCAGTAGCAGCAGCTACAGAAACTAAGAATCAAGTTTATCCAATACATAACTTGCAAATACATTTTTCAACTGTGTTCGCCTGTGCTTCGGTGCTAATAAAAACGATTTTAAATCGAAAGTTAGCATTTTCAAACAATTTACCGAATACCGTTAAACGCCGTTGCTATCGTGAGATTCTCAAACTAGCAGCAGCTTGCTTGTTGTTTTCGTCTTCTACGGCGTCGATTTTCGTTTGCCAATTGTCTATTGTGTGTAATTTTTTTCGTTGTTGCATTCGTTTTTTTTTTCTGTTGTTGTTGTTGCCAGAGACGCCACTGCCTTATACGTAAAATCGGTGAAAAGAGATCGAATATTCAGAAAACGTAAACAAGTACTTGAGATCCCAGGTTTGATCGCTTACTTTTTTTTTATCGTTATCAACAAGTTTTTAACAAAAGTGCAACAACAACAAGCAAAACATGCGAGGTCTTCTAACTTCAATTTGTTGCTAGCGCAAAAATGATGTCATTTTGATTCCGTTGTGTCGGAATTTTGACGAAAAAATTCTTTTTTAATCCATGATTTCATTTTAAGCTGTCATTTAATATCTTTCGATGCAGGGAGCGAAAAAAATGAATCGAACTGCTTTCGAATAAGAAACGATTTAATTGATTGAGCAGCCAAAGTTCAGCAAATTAATTCATCATTCACAAAACAGTCATTAATCTTTGGTCTTGAATCGAAAAAAATAAATACATTATTTTTATGTTCATTCTCTCTTTCTTTATTTCTCATACACACACACACACACATGCAGATCAGTGTCAAGCGCAAGCTTTAATGATTAATTCCCATTTAAATGCCACTCTGTGTGTGTTGTGACTGTCTATATTTGGATTTATCGATAATTTCTGATTATCATTTTCATCTAAAACAAATGTTCTCCTTCCATTTATGCTGAGTTGGTGGCAAGCTGATAGGCCCAAATATGGTAATGTCTCCCATAAATATAGTGAATTGTGGACCGTATTGGAGTCATTCGGTGTGCCACATCTGTATGTGCATTTGTCCCAGAGACCTCAAAATGTATTCAAGACACAGAATATGAAATTGAAAACACACAAATACCAGACATACTGTGATTCGAACCACAGCAAAACGTTTTACAGACACTTAATTTAACGACATTCCGGACAGTGTGAAATTGACTTTGAATTGACGCATCGAAAATATGTGACGAAAGAAGTGAACCGAGAATGAGTTATTTATTTGTTTCGTTTTGTATTTGTCGGTTTTTGTTGTTATCTTTTTTCGTTGAGAATATTCCGAGACTGAAGAATCAAAAACATATAGTCGAAAAAAGAAAAAAAACTAAAGACAACGTTGCCAAATTGATATATTGCATGGTGACTCAACTTAGATTAACTGAATGAGATTTTTTTTTCTGGGTTTGTGTATGCTGAAGGTAATGCTGAGAAAAGTGGAATTCATTGTCATGTTACGGCATCAGTTTTTTTTTTTCAAATCCTTTTACTTCTTTCCGCCGAAAATGATTGAAAACAATAAACACAAACACACATTTTACAATGATCGTTTTGTTTGTCTCCCTGACGCAATCGCGGTGTTGATAGTAAAATTCTTCAATCGTGTGAGATCGTGTACGGTTCGTTTGAGATCATCATGCGTTTTGTATGACAAAACACTGCAAATATTTGCGCTTGAGTCAAATGATATACACAGCTACTTAAGAGAGACTGGTTCGTAGATAAAATAAAAGGCAAAGGCAAACCAAAATCAAAGATATGCTTGGATGTGTTATGGAATGATAAAATATACAGTGGAACTGAATTTAGCTACGGAATGTCAATCGAGATAAAATATAATCTTAAATCACCGCATGGAATGGTCTTAGCCAATTCGTGCGATTCGAATGTGCAAAACGCTAGAAAATATTGCAAACACCCACCAACTTGTTGCCGGAATGTAAACAAACAATCATGGTGTGTCGTTAAAAAAAATCGATCTGCCTGAGCAACAGCTCGGCGAGCCGATTTTATTGGACGCGACAAATCCACAACGAAATGATGAATATATGTTGACATTTTTTCCAACTCTTTTTTTCTCTCACTCTATCACATCGAATTGTCGTCATTGCACACACAGAGAGGGAATAAAAGAAGAAAACCAACAAACACGTACGAACGGACGAGAGAGAAAAAAGAATTTTAACCGTGCTGACTGAATATGGCCGCAATATTTATTTGTATATTCGCTCATTTTATAGTCTGACATCTGCACGGTGTGTGTCGAAGTGAAGACTTGAAAATGCATTGCTCAGCGAAAAAAAAGAAGCAGAACTGTTGTGTGTGCAATTAACATTTCGGGGAATTCGTTGGCTTTTTCTTCGGTTAAATTTAATGATTGCTATAAAAATGGCAATCGCTGGTTTCAATTCAACTAATAAAATAAATTTTGAAATATCAACTACAATTTGGAAAAAAAATTTGTTTGTGTATATATTTTTTTTGTTGAAAAAAAGGTTAATACGTAGCAATCAATGAATTTAATATTGGCGAATGAGAAGTGCGACGCGCGCGTTAACACATTCGATATTACGTCATCGCGCGAAAATTCTATATTTAAAGCAGAATGGAACGGGCGGCAAAAGCAACAGCGGTCACAGTAGAACAAAAAAGTATTGAGTGCTGCTTGTGTGAATATCTCGTCATATCGAATATTTTCGAATGAAAAATCGCCGTAGAAAAATTTTGTGTGTACGATTTGAATGTGAGAGAAACGTGCCTAATACAGAAAATAAATACAATTCATTTACGAAGCGAGAATTGACTGGACAATCGGCTTCTTATTTCGTATTTTTTTTTCTTGTATGGCTCCACGCTGGACGAGATATATTTATGTATATATACCGACTGCAACATCGCAAACAAACTAAAAATTCAAACCGAAACCACCACAAGGCCACTGTTTCTAAATGCAATAATAATCGGTGGTGAAATGTCACTCATACATACACATCAATCAGAACATTATAAGACACCAATCTGAGCGAGTGGATTTTTATTCAGAATCTTTGTTGAACCAACGAACGCAAACGCAAAAAAATGAGAACAAAGTCATTAAAAAGATGAAGAAAGAAAAGAGCCATTCTTACCTTGATAATCAGTTCGATTTCGGGCACATCACCATTGGTAGTGCCATTCGTTTGATTGTTATCCTCAGACATTGTACGTTAAGCGTTGAATCGTTTGAGAAACGGTTAATTTTTTGTTGTCTTTTTTTTCTCCTCTCGTTGTCGTTTACACACTCACGAAACAACAGCAACAACAGAAAAAAAAAATCTATAACGATATATCTAGCACAAGTAATGGTCTCACTTGAACGCACACTTGTAGATAATAACAACAACCGATATTTTATGTATATGCTACTGTCGTTGATACAAATTCAATCGCACAAGATACGGATGCGTCTTTTGTTACTATTCTCTCTCTCTCTCTCTCTTTCTCGCTGTGTCTTTCTGTGCTGTTGCTGAGTTTTTTTTTCTTTCTGTTCTTCTTCTCGCCTTACAAGAATTCTTTTCAATAGAACAAGTAAATTGAGTCGAACGTTTCTTGACACTTGAGCAATTAGATCATAGAATGCACACCAAGCGATTGACACCCAGTATTAAGAATAACACTAAATCTATTTCTCGTCGCGTAGAAACAATTTGTGTCCGCTGCTTAAATGAGCACCAAAGAAGAAAGAATTCCTGTTTTTTCCTTCTTTAGTTTATTATTTTATTTTTTTTGCTTCTTCTGCTTTAGTTTGAGTTTGCTTTTCAGTTTTCTATTTTTCTTCTTGTTGCAGCCAAGCGCACCAAGAAATTGATATTTTCGTTGTAGTTGGAAAGCAAAATAAAAAAAGAGAAATATATATGATGGAACTGGTTTCAATGACCGCGTTGATTATGCGTGTATATAAAGCAATCCGTTCACGATGACGATCAAATAAAGACTAACCGCCAGCCATTTTGCTTGCGATTCATTGTTTGCGTTGTTTTGCCTGTTGCGCGTGTAGTTGTGCAAATGTTTGTGAAAAGAAGAAGAGATGACGTTGGGCAATTGAAACCGACCGCTTTCATAGAATACTGAAACTACTGGACGGTTTTCTTCGGTTTCTCTTTCTCTCTCCCTCTTTTTTTCTCGTTGCTTTGCTTCGTTGAGAAATATGAAACGCATGGAATATGCGATACGACTCTCGTCGTGAATTTTGACGTTTTTTTTTCTCCATCTCATTCGCACGCCGTTCACACACTTTGTATCGCATAGTTTTACGTAGATTTACTCAAACGCCGAATTGTTGATGATATAAATCAAACGACACGAAGGCATTTGTTTAGTTTTCCATCAATACATCCATCCTTTTTGGTTTGTATGCACTTGTGCTCTTTTGTTTGTTTCTCGTCTTGCGAAGCAGCAGCCGTTGGCAAAATCAAGTGTTCGACCTCTTGAACGGTTCGACTGATACAATACGATGGTACATTATCGTCGGGAAGTGACGATGAAATGAAGCAATGGATGAAGGGACTCCCAATGTCTCAAATCCCCTTCCATGTACTGTGTATACGTTCAAACATTGGATACGAAGTCACAGAACCAAATTTTTTTTTAATTATAAAAGGCACACAAGAAGCTCTATCGGACGATGATGATTCTACGATAGATTTTGATCTGCGGACAATTGATATGTCATTGCGCAACGATGTCATTTTACCAAGTGATTAACGGGAGCTGTATAAACGCCAGCTAGAGTTGAAAAATGACGCCAAACTGCCTTGAATTTAGATAGTGATTCAGCGGGAGCTGGGAACCAACCAGAAGAAGTTAACAAACGACACAAAACTGTCTGAATTTAGTTGACTCTGGCTGCGGTTTATTTTATTTCAATATTTCAATTGTACACAGAGTAAAATTTATGCATATTTGTATAGAAATAATAAAAAATGATTAGTCCATGGCTGATGTAAAACGCTGGATTTACTTGCGGCGCACTTGCGACCAACCATCATCGGCTGATTCTGAAATGAAACAAATGACGCCAATTAGTTTGAATGGATTGAAATGCGGTAAAAATATTGATCGGCATAATCATAGGATGAAATATTGATTTTGAAAAGACTTTTCGTCAAATTTGGTTGAAATCTTTTCAAGTTACCTTTAACTGGAGATTTTTCGCGGCGTTTGTTTTCTTCTTTGACTGGTTCATTACGTGGTGCTTGTTCAGTGCGTGGTGCTTGTTCATTGCGGCGCCAACTGCTGCCTTCCTGTGATGCAGCAGATGGTCGATCGCTGCGACGAATTTCTAAGAAAATTTAAACAAAATTAAAAACTGGAGTAAGTACTGGACTGAAAATTTAAAAAAGAAATCATCATGAAAACACTACCTCGGTCGCCTCCTCTGTTTGAGTCATTACCACCACCACGTCTCCAGTCATTACCACGGTCACCACCACGGTCACCTCCACGTCGATCGTCACGCCTATCAATACAGAATCAATGCCATTAATTCATTTATACCTTACATTTTATTGTGTTAAAAATATGATTTTCGTTATCGGAAAATGTAAGTCTATCATTTTTTTTTTAAGTTTTATTTTTTTACCTGTTGTCGTTACGATCACCACCTCGCCGGTCTCCTCGATTATCATCACGGCGGTCACGACGAATTTCTCCACCCCGGTTATCTCTGTTGTCATCTCCACGTCGGATTTCTCTATCTCCACCTCGGTTATCTCTGTTATCATCTCCACGTCGGATTTCTCTGTCTACGCCGCGGTTTTCTCTGTTGTCATCTCGACGCCATTTCGATTCACGGTCTGGTTTCGCTTCGGCTTCTGGTACTTTCCGCCAATCGCCACGCTCTTGAGCTGGTTCATCAGTAGCAGTAGCTGCAGCAGCTGCAGCAGTTGGAGGAGCAGCTCGTGAGCCTTTAAAAAGTGAAAAAGAAAATGGAATTAAAATTAAGACGTTGTTCATAATGACCTGAAGCTGTTGATTATTTTTCAATTTTTCGTGCAATTCACAAAAAGCCATAACAATGAAAATATAGAACAGTTCTTACCTGGTGGTCGGTATTTTTCTCCAGCTGGTTTGTCTGCGGTGGCGGCGGCGGCGGCTGGTACATTTCGCCACGACGATTGGTTTTCTTTTTCCTTTTGTTCTTGTGACCTACGTTCGGCCAATTTGCGTTCATTTTCTTCGTCCTTGGCGCGTTGGATTTGAGCCGATCGTTCAAGTTCGGCTTCTCTTTCCTTTTGGCGACGTTCGCGTTCCACGCGTTCGGCTTCCTCCTTGACACGACGCTCTTCATCCTCGCGCCGTTTCTTCTCAGCTGCAATTTCATCAAGATATTTCTGTTTACGTTCTTCGTATCGCTCAATGACACGTTCGGCCAAACGTTTTTTGCGCTCTTCTTCAAGCAATTTCTCGAATGATGCTGCCTTTTCTTCAAAGTTCTCGTTACGTTCTTTGCGCAAACGGTCCAAGAATGAATCGCGATCTGGGTACATGCGTGACAATCTTTGTTGTTCCTTCAATGCAATTTCGCGTTCCGCTATAGCATTTTCAATGCGTTGTTTTTCTTGTTGTTCCCAGAATTCTTTGTCGTTGACTTGTTTGTCTTCCAAATACTTTTCAATCAATGAAATTTCCTCTTGACGCTTAGCCCGTTCATAGTAGTCGACCTTCTTTTCTTGTGACTTCAATTTCGATTGTAATTCTTTGCGTTCCTTTTGCAATTCTTCCGATTCACGTTTGGCAATTTGTTCGGCGTCCAATTTCTTAAGTTCATCTTCATCCAATTTCTTGAGCACCTTTTGACCGTGCGTGGTTTGTTTGATTTGTTGCACTTTCTCTTGCAAGCTCTTCTCCTTAATCTGTTGAATTTCGTCAGCTTGCCGTTTACGTGCACGTTCCTCAAGCTCAAGTTCCAAGCGTTTCTGTTCGGCCATCTTAAGGCGACGCTGTTCTTCCTCTTGCCGATGGATTTCCTCCGCTTCGCGTTCATTGTTCTTGCGTTCGATCGATTCTTTCAAGTCTTCGATCATCTTTTGACGTTGCAAAATGCGTTGATGCTCCTTATTCTTGGTAGCATGGTAGCTTTCGACGATTTGTGCCCGAAGACGGTCACGATCGGCCTTCTTACGGTTTGGATTAATGGTATTGATGGCGCGATGCAATACAATTGACATGTTCACCAATTGCGAGCGGATTTGTTCCGATGGCATCGATTGCAACATTGGACCATCTGGACGATCTTCGCGTTGGCTTTCCGACAATTCGGTGCCGAAGTGAATGCAATTCTCTTGATGATCGATGCGAATTTGCATGTCATTGTGTCGCACACAGTCAACCAAAATGCGTTCCAAACTAAATTTGTCGGTGAATTTGGCGAGAGACAAAATGCGTGCAAACTCAATCGACTGGTAGACCTGAGAGATTTCACGAATCAAACGGACAATTGTCACATCGTGCAATGAACGAACGTATTGTTGCAATGGGTGCTTTTCGTCGGCAACAATCACATCGGTGATGGTTTTGACACGTGAGCACAAATTCAATGGGTCAAAATCAATCTCAAGCCATTGGTACAAATTGCGATATTGTTCACCGGCCAATTGAACCACATTGAAGCGGATCATATCTTTAAGCAATGAAGCACGACTTGGTGGATTTGAAAGTCCCAACAAAACGGCCAAACGTTGTGCCTTCTCCAATGGGCTCTTGTCGGTTTCAATGAACCGATCGAATTCGGGATGAGCCGATGGCAATGGTACGGCCAATGTGGCGATCAACACATGACTTGCCATACGCTGAAGCTCTTCTTGGGTGATGTTCTTCTTCATTTCACGCGTCAATTGGAAGAGTTTCAAAAGGGCGGCAGCATGGAACAAATGATTGCCGGCTTTCCAGAAGACCATTGCCAATTTTTGGTAGTAGTTGGCCATGGTTTTTGCAACCGGTTGCTTCTTTGCCAAATTCATCAAACCATGAATGTCTTCAATGGCTTTGTAGGCTTCCTGCCACAATTCCATTTGGATGGCGCTATCCAATTGGTTTAATCTGATTTCGACGGAAAAAGGGATTTTTTTTTTCAATCAGCAAAAAAGTCAAAGAATGCAACAAAATTAAAGGCAAAAAAGTGAAAAAAAAATAATAATAATGGTTAACTCACCTCGTATCCAAGTTAAGTTGTTGTGTTTCTGGTTTCGAGATGCTAACGCCAGTAGCTTGATTGGTTGATTTGCAAATATCTTCCAAATGCTTGCGCAATTTTTCGCATAATTTACGGAATTCCATTTTACGGTTATATTTCAAGCAGAAACCGAAGGCCATTCGGGCGATGTCGTGGTACAATGCCTCGCAATGAGCATTGACACGCAACAATTCCAAACATTGGCAGTATGATTCCCACAAGAATTTCACCCATGGCAATAGAATAGTACGATCCGAACGATCTTGAGCGTCTTCACCGCACACGGCACTCATTAAAATACTTTCCGGTGTGGCCAAATTGTCCAAATCATCGATATCGATAACGGCCTGTGACGATTGCTGTTGAGCGGCTTCAGTGCGCTCTTCGGCCATTTTCAAGTAGCCACGGATCACATTTTCCAATGAGCCAACATTCACCAATTGGAACATGTTACGGTATTGGAACAAACCCTCCTTGGCGATGTGCGATTTCTTCAATTCAACGCAAAGATCCAAATATTTAAACATAATTGGCTCAATCACCGATTCCGAATAGCTGTACGTGAATTTTTTGTTTCGGAACACCTCTTGGAGAGTGTCCAAGGCTCTTGATTTTTTGCCGACATCGATAAATTCTGAGGAAAGTAACCGAAAAAAAAACAACAAACGTTAATATTTACGCATTCAACAATATTTCAATTTTGTTGTGTGTGTGTGACAACATCTATTTTTAAAGTGCGTTCAACAAACAATTCATATGCGACTTTGCGTTGCATCTGTCGCCGCGACCTTTTCATCATACGAATACGTGATTCATATATACGTACAGAATAGTATGCACATAAATGACAGCGTTGATAAAAAAAATTGATTCGCAAAAAACAAATTTCCACATTTTTCCTCGAATTTCATCGAAAGTTTCACAGAATATTCAATTAACATCCATTCAAAATGATGCATTTGCTGAAAATGTGCCGCAACATTTTTCACATGCTTTTGGGTTATGATGAAAAGTAGCCAACGTGGTTGCGGTGTTTAGAGAGAGAGGTGCGGCAACCATTTTGAACCATTTAAAACACAGCATTTTATTCAACTTTTAATTAATTTCCACCGGATTTTACTTACCATTTGCTCTTTTCAGAGCGTTCTCCGGGCGATTCATATAACGTGACATTTTGATAATTGATTAAAACACTTTTTATTCCAGGTTTATTCACCGAAATGCACTTTTTTCAAAAGAAGAAATATTGCCGTACGGTGACGAGCAAATATTTTATCGTCTTGTTAAAATACTAAATGTGTGACAGCGGTGCGCGAGATTGGCATGAATCGTGTGTATGTATCGCATGAAGTTGCAGCGTTTTGCAGACAGAGAAATCAATGTCAAAAATTATGAAATGCATTGGAAATTGGAATTAAGTGTGATAAGTCAATAAAAAGAAGACGATTCTGTTTGTGATATTTAGAAGAAGCAAAAAAAAATTGAAGAAAAATTCAGAAAAGTCCAAATAACACTAAAGAAGTAAAAAAAAAATATCGGAAAAAAGTCACAATGATTGAGAGTGTATTTGATATATTGCACTACGAAGTGGTAAAATATTCATTGGGCGATGAAAAAACACCACAGCAAAATAACAACACAAACTTGTCGACAATCGAGTACATTGGATTTTCAACGGGATATCGACTGACGGAGCGTCTGACTCGTGAATGGCCTCGGTTCCGTTTCAAAGACGATTTGGAAACAATGAAATTCATTTGCACCGATTTCTGGACTTCCATCTACAAGAAGCAAATCGATAACCTTCGCACGAATCACAAGGGTGTTTACGTGTTACAAGACAATGCATTCCGATTCTTAGTCAATATTTCGAATAGTTCGCAGTACCTGGAAGAGGCACCCAAGTTTGTTGCATACACATGCGGCCTGGTTCGTGGTAGCTTAGCCAATTTGGGAATCAACAGTACGGTGACGGCCGAAGTACAGAATATGCCATCGTGCAAATTCCACATTCAAGTCAATCCATCCAGTGCATAATCACCATTCTGATGATCCATCTATGATATTCAATATGATATTAAGTTTCATTTCGAAATAGAATTAAAACTCCAACTATATATTCTAACAAAAATAAATACAAAACAGAAAAAAAAATTCCAAAGTTTATTGGTTATCATTGAAATTTTGGTAAACAATGCGTTCCCTATGTTCCTATATATCTAACTGGCTCTCCCCAAGAAAAATTGAACCATCGTCTTCTGGTCTACATTTCAATATTCATCACATTGCATTTTGTGTGGACTTTTTCTTTTGCTTTGAAAAAAGAACTTCAAGATGACACAGCGTTTTGTGTGTGTGTGTATGGTATCAAAACAGTTTATATAGATAGAACAAAGTTTAGTTGCCATAAAACATGAGGTAAAGTATCTCTTACGAAAGAAAGAAAAAATCATTTTGTTTACTTTTTCTTTTCTTCAACAACATTTTCTTTTCATCTAGTGTCTTGTGGTTTTTTTTGTGCTTGCAAATAACATTTCATCTCCAATGTTCAATCGTTATCATTCATACAAAAAAGGGGGAGTTTCATTGAAAACACGACAGCTTACTATTTATAGAAAATATATAAAACAAGTTTCAAAAAAGAATTATTGTATGTGTGTGTGTTTTTTTTTTTTGCTCCACTAAATAAATAATCTGACGGCGTCGGAAATTCGGACTAACACAACATGTTCAATGGGCTGTGGATGTGAGGTGTGAACATTTAGGCCTCCTGCAATTGACGGAAAAAAGAAAGAGAAAGATAAGTGGTGTATATAAGTGGTCGGTCGATGTAATCTTTGTGCTTATGATTATCACGTTTGAAGTTGCTACACATGTATCATATGCGAACTTTGTACCAAAATCGACGCGCGTTACATTTGGATTATGTAAGAAGCATTACTGACGCATCAAGTGTCCGTCAAAAATGAATCTCTGCACCCAATTTGGTACAAACGGAGCGTGAATAATTCAAACGACCGTAAAAAAATAGGTCAAAACACGAATTTCGCGCAAAAAACACCTACCTTCTGCTCTTTCTTGGCGAGTGCTAACAAACGATAGTGTTCGTTGACACGTGTACGAATTTTCTCTGGTATGACAAGTAATGTGGTGACTGTGTTTCCGACAAACAGAATGAAGAACAGTACACTCAGAACGACCACTTGCCACGGTGCGTCCGGATGATAGCTCAATTTTAATAGAGCATACGAGTTGTAGGCTTGGAAAAAATAGCCAGCAAACAGGAATGGTAAGAGGAAACTCAATCCGCGCCACATCCACGAGTGAAATCCCTCAATTGTGATGTCCATATCATGGCGTTCACCCAGCGCCTTGAGCCGATACAATACACCTTTTTGGTAACGGAATTGTAGAAATTGCACCATCGAAATGTATGCATTGAAATACATGAATTGATGACGAAACAATTGCCATGGTTCACCCTGTGGCCAAATCAGCAACACGCCAGCACATGCCGTCGATATAAAATGATGTGTACGCCACCAGCCCTTAATTCGTGAACCGTTCACCTTCAATATGGACTCACGTATGGTCAACGTACAATAATACCAAACTAGCAAAAATATAAACGCTAATTCAAGTATTCTGAAAAGAAAAAACAGAGAAAACACACATGAATCGATAATGTATATATTTGATCGCCGCTAGGCAACGTAAATCAATCAACTCATTTCGATTATTTAAAACTGATAATTACCGGCTATTGTATGATAAATTAAGGATTGCCATGAACAACCCGATTCCATTCAAAATCAATTTGAATTTCTCATAATCGTCCTTATACTGATATTTACTCTTTCGATTCAGTATCGACACGTTCACATTGCCCAGTATTATCTGAAAACGATTCAACAGAAAATAGATAAATAGTACACGAGCGCGCGCGCGCGCGACAGAGCAACAACACACAATTAAAAACGTAAAAAATAGCCGTAAATTCATTGATGTTGTTGTTGTTGTTGTTGTCATTAAACAAATTTCATTTTAAATGCATAAACACGTACGTTCAAATACGTTCCGTTCTTTTGTGGAAGTGTTTGGTCAATGTCGTATAGTTGAGCTTTTCGTTTTATTATGTTTTTCTCAAGGTCAGCCACTTGATCTTTTTCGTCTGATGTAGTCACATTGCTGCTCACATATCTGACGCAATTTCCGAAAATGATATGAATTTTTATCGAATCAAACAAAATGCAGAAATTTCTTGAAATTTCCAACGAGCGAAAAAAAACAACAAACGACTCACTTTTTAAGATTGCCGCTAATTTGACTAATGCGATATCTCTGATGCGAAATGTCCTTCATACATTTTTGTTGTAATTTTTCGAGTTTCTCCAGTAGCTCGGTGTATTCATTGCTTGTATCCTATTGTAACGGAGCATAAATATTAAAATAGAAATTTAATTCTATTTCCAACGCTGGCTAAAAAATTGAATTGCTCATCGAAATTCTATAGCAATTTCGATTTCACTTACCTCTAAAGCGGCAAATTCATTGGACAATTCGTCCCACTCCGTTTGTATAGACTCTAAGCTCATTGTTTTATTTATTGGGATTTTATGCAATTATTTCACAATTAATTTTCTACTTTGTTTCTATTTATTATTGACTGATCAATTGTTTCGATTCGGTTTTGGATTCGTTGTACATGTTCGCCTCAATTTGGCACAATAATAATTTGTTTTTTTTTGTGTAAAATAACCTCGTGATTGGCTTTTCTTCCTCTACTCGTCCATAATTTTATTTCACTGTAATCTAAGAAATGAAAACGATGAAAAAACAAAACGCAATTAAATTGATATCGCTGCGGCAAAATTAACAAAACAGCTGATTTTATGCCACATAATCGCAACCACTTTCATTTATCACACATTCAAAATTCAAAAGATAAATCTTTCTGATTTGTTTTCCATTTTTGCGCTACTCAACCAAAACGAAATACTGACACTCACTTTGATTACAATTCGGTATTATACGTCAACGCGTTCAATAGCGTGTGGTTTGATGTGATGTTTCAAAAGTCGAAAAAACGCACAACAACAATCGATAATGAAATTCTCACTTCCCAATTCTAATTGTAGAGATGACGAACGCAACGTAACCGATTTGATTAAGGTGCCGTAAATCAGGGAGACTGATTTTGTCAGTCAACAGTGTGTGAATCAATTCTCGTTCTTTTTTTTTCTTTCGTTTGTTCGTTGTTTCTCCGTGCTAACGTCAATTTAAAAAGTCATCAATAGGCTTTCGCTTATATGACATACACAGAGCAGGTGTTCATATGGAATGCATGAACGTCCAAATTGGCCGTGTTTGGTGGCGCCATCCAACGACCGAAATCACCATGAATGAACAAATGGAACGAATTTGAACGTTGAGGACCTGTTGAATGTGTACGAATAAATTATGATCGGAATTAAAATCATTTTTGATTATTCATTTTATTTCTTTTTACTGGCGTGTGAACTTTGAATAAATTCTTATTTAAAGATAAGAGAGTTATTGAAAACGTATCAAGTAAAAAATTGCTATTGAGAATATGTTGTCACGCCTAGACCATAGTACTTGAAAGTTTTCCCCGTTTTTCCAGATGCTTAAATGAGTTACCATTAAATTTTCTCAATAAAGTTGAAGAATTGTCCTTTGAAAGAGCTAAGGAGTCTTTCATTTGAGAAATTCATGAAGCATTTCTCGAGTTGTTGAAATGCAAAAGGCAGTATACTGGCTAGTAATCTATAAAATCGATCAAGTTTCATGTTGAATGATTTATTTTTCATGTGTATGGTGTTGTCCCTATCATTGAGAAATCCAATGGGATTTATTATAAAGCGAAAGAACTTCAATATTTTGCAAATTATTTATGACAAATTGTCTGTTTTCATATCAAACAGTTTATACTCGAAAATGTCCACAGTTCATCATCTTTTACCTTCAGTAAACGAAAAAAAAAACAAGAAAGAGAAATTCCGGTTCTTCGGCATGAGTCAATTTATCAAAGAACTTCGTCATGATGACTCACAAATTCAAGTGATAATCTAAACCAAATAATAAAAACCATAAATGACACCTTGACCACATAGAAAAAAAGCCCACAAGAAGAAACCAGTTTCGGATTAAATTTTCATCTCATTTATTTCATAATTAATTTAACATTTGTTCCTTATTTTCTTAGGCCTATAAATAAGAAATGTAAATTAATGCTTTTTTTCGTTCATTAATTTTATCGACTATTTTTTTCTTTTCTCGCGCGCGTTCAATTATGCTATTAAACTTAATTGTAATGTGTGTGTGTGTGTTTTTTTCTGTTTTTTTTTTTTTTTTTTCATTTAATTTCGATATGTACAAAAGAAGTTTTGTGACAATATTATTCTGTATAGAATGACATATACAAAAAAAATCAAGACTTAATCCATTGAAAAGTACTCAAGTCTTCTTCACTTCCATTCTTTTCTTTCGATCTACGTTATCGTTCGTATTTTTTTTTAAATCTTTGACTATTGAATTCAAGAGTTTACGCACGGCGCGTAAATGTTACGCGATGTGCAATGTGTCAAATAATTTATTTTTTTTTCCATTTCAGAGCTAAAGCGTTAGCACACCAAATGTGAGTTGTCTTTAGCACGGTTTGGCAACTTATTAACTTATGCAGATAGTTTTATTATCTGTAACTCTTCTCGTCTGAGTAAATGACGAATGGTTGACCATTGAGTGATGGTGATTGATGATAGTATGGATTTCGTCCCATGGTTGAGTAATTTGTTCGCGATTGACTGAGATTCGTCATGGATTGGTGTGACATTGGCTTGTGCGGCAATGTGGCATAGTTTTGAGCATACGGTGGGATAGCGTACAATGGAGTTGGTGTTTTGTATCCAGCAATTTGCATGTTTGAACTGAGCGGCATTGGTGGCATTCCCATTGGAATTGGACCGTTGTGATAGCTATTCGAACTCATTCGTAGGCGAACGATGCAAATGATAATGATCAAAATTGTGATGAATGCAACGACACTTCCGACGATAATGATGATCAAAGTGTCATCGTTTGCGATCACGGCTTTGTTAATCATCGGTGGTTTGGTTTTGATTTTGGTCGGTGCTTGTGATGGTGGCATGCTCCAAATGATTTCCGGTTCGGATGTTGTGTATCGTGTCACAATTTTCGATGTGGTTCGTTGTGCGGTGGTTTTCGTTGTGATTGGAGTGGCCGTAGTTGGTTTACGGGAGTCGCATGTCAATTCATCATCACCGACTTCAGTGAGGAGTTTTCCGGCCAAATAGTCGGGCGTTGCACATCGCAAACTTGACATATGCGATCCAGGTAACCAGCGGCGCAAAGCACGTGCATTGCAATCACAGTGGATTGGATTCGAGTCTAAGCCATGAAGCGACAAACTATTCCGCCGATCCTCCAATGCGGTCAAGAGTTGTGGCGATAAAACGGTCAACTTCGAACCAGACACATCCAAATCGACATTCGATGATCGCGGAACTGGGAACAAGAGTGCCGGTGGCAATACAGACAATGACGTATTCATAAGTTTAATATGCAAGTCTTTGCCCTTTAATCCAGCCAGCGTAGCTGCTGAAATACTTCTCAATCGACTGCCACGAATGCCCAGCTCCTTGAGACGTGGATGTTTGGCCGGTTGGATTTGATCACTTCCAACAGCCGCGTCTTTAATTTCAACATCCAACGAGCTTAACGTTGGCAACAACTCAACGATGCCTTGCACATCTAAGTAACCAAGTCGTGGGTAATTGTATGCTTTGAGTTCGGATAGATTTGGTAAATTCTTGAATGCATTCTTCTCAATGCGGTTGATTTGGTTCAAGTCAGTGATGGCCAGTGACTTCAGCATATCCAAATTATCAAAATCGCCTTGTGAAATGATTTCAAATGAATTGTTGGACAAGTCCAAGTATTGGAGTGAGGTTAATTTCGGCCACATCTTTGACAATTTCTTGATGTCATTCAACATGTTGCTTGATAAATCCAAACTTTCAAGTAGAGTTGCCCGTTCGAATGCCTCTTCATTGACGCTAACAATGTTGTTGTGTGACAAATTCAAGCTCTGCAAGAATGGTGTTTCTAATGATGTGATCGCCTTCACACCAGTGCCAGCCAAATTCAATTCACGCACGGTTTTTGGTTCGTTTAAAATATTCTCCACCGTTTGCTCGGTCAATGGATTGTAAGAAAGATCAAGCTTTTTAATATTGACCATAACACTATCTTCAGATGGAATGGACTTGATGTTGTTCTTGCTCAAATTCACCGATGTCACAAAGAAGTACTGCCGCTGCAACGCCTTCAATGGCGCATAATCGAATTTGTTGTTGGCCAAGTTGATATTCTCCAACATGTGCAATTTAGCTCGATCGAAAATGGTCTCTGGCAAATCGTTCAAGCGATTTCCTTCCAAGTTGAGTGTTTCTAAACGTACCAACCCTTCGAATGTACGCTCGCCAATGCGATCAATGCGATTGTTACTCAAGTCAACGACTTGCAATTGCGTTGAATTGTGAAATGCCATTTCACTTAAAGTTTCAAGTTGATTATAGGCCACATCCAACACGCGCAACCGTGGCAAACGGGCAAAATCTAGTTCGTCAATTGTTTTCAGCTCATTTCCAGACAGATTGATGTGTTCAAGGTATTGCAAAGTGGCAATCAATTCGGATGGGAAGAAGTTGAATTTATTGTTGGCAATGCTCAATCTGCGAAGACGAGGATGAATGCGGAATGATGATGGAAATAGGTAACTTAACTGGTTATCAGATAAATCAAGCTCTTCCAAACCGGTGCCGGTGTTGAAGAATTCACCTTTGAAAGCGCTCAATTGATTACCCTTCAAATTGAGCTTCTTCAAATTCATCAAATTAACGAATGACGCTGATCGCAAACTTGAAATATGATTGTGTGACAGGTCAATCGATGAAATGTTACGCAAGTTGGCAAAAGTTGATTCACCGATCTCTTGAATGGCGTTATTTCTCAGGACAATAATCTCCAAATCCGGTGAATTTTCAAAGACCTCCGATGGAAGTGTCTTTAATCCGGACATACTCAAGTCAATCGTACGTAATTTTACCAACGGTTGCAATAGATTCACTGGAATTGGGCCCAAATGGTGATTGTGACTCAAATTCAAGTAGAGCAGATTTTCTAATCCCATCAACGAGTTCTTGGCAATGTCCACAATGTTGTTGTCACTCAAATCCAAAATGCGTAGCTTGCGCAGAGCCAACGGAATATTTCCGATCGATGTGATTCGATTGTGCGAAACTCTCAATTCACGCAATGCAGAGTCTAAACCTTGGAATGTATCAGCGCTGATGGTGGCCAGAGAGTTTCCTGACAAATCCAAATAACGCAAATTTCGGAACATTTCGAAGCTACCCGGTGGAAGTTCACGGATCACATTTCGCGAGAGAGACATATACTTAATGTCTTCCGGTTGAATTGAACCAAGTATATCGGATGAAAGTGCAGCGACACGATTGTAATCTAAATACAAGTTGGATAGACGTGGCAAACGACCCAAAGCACTACCCGGGATCAGCAGAATGTTGTTGTCTCGCAGGATTAACGTCTGAAGTGAATCCAAACCTTCCAAAGCGTCATCTTCGATCTAGAAGAAAAAAACCGTATTTAGAATTTTTAACGAGTTTTTTTAAAAGTTTTGCTAGTTTTTCACTTATGATGAAGTAATTCCGTACCGTTCTCAATGAGTTCAAACTCAAATCCAAGTATTTCAATTGTGATAAATCTCGGAAGGTTGCTGGCGCCACTGAGTTGATTCCGTTCCGGCTAAGGTCCAAGATTTGAAGTCCTTTCAAATTTTCCAAATGAGCCGATTCCAGCTTTTGAATCATGTTTGATGACAAATTCAACAACTTCAAATTGCCCACTTCTTGTAAAGCAATCGATGGGAATGCCGAAATGAAGTTCTCAGACAAGTCAAGTTTTTCCAACGAAGATGCACCCTGAAAAATAAAATGGCCGGTTAAACATTTGGTTCAAAATGGTGCTGGGAGATATAACGGAACACAATACATTATTTGTATTGAATACAAAGTTTAAACAACAACGCTGGAATTTCTTTCACATACCTCAAAAACGTCGCTATTAAGCAGAATCAAGCGATTTCCGGCCAAATAGATTTCCTTAGGTGAAGTCAATCCACCAAATGCACCACCGTCTATGGTTGAAATGCGATTATATCGTAAGTCGATTCGTTCCAAACTTGGTTGCGATGTAAACGCCTCCGATCGTACAACAGCTAAAAATACGAAAATTAATTAACAAAACGTGTTAAAATTAAATCATTTTGTTGTTTCTATGAAATTTAGACTGAAATTTTCCGTTTTTTCTTCAAGTTTTGCACCTGATAAATGCTTTTGATAATTATAGCGATAATTTCGTCTTCAATTTAGTCAAAATTTTTATCCATTTTTTTTAACTCGTACATGTTTATGAATTCGTGTTAATTGTTTAAAAAAATATCTGGCAGAAAATTGGATATGATCTTCCATGAAGTAAAAAAAAATATTTCCACAGAAAAAACGGTGTTAATTTTGGGCTTACCGATGCTGTTGTTCATCAACGAAATTGATTTCAAGGCATTTGGACCGTTTAATGACGTCGATGGCACTGATGTGAAACTGTTTCGGGCTATGTTCAAATCCTACAATAAGCGAAACAAAAAGAAAGAAAAGAAAAACGCATTCCAGTTAATAAAAATAAAATGAACTTTTTTTTTGCTGCGCAGAGTAAAAACTATAATAATATTGCAGAATTAAGTAGTGAAACTCATTATTATGCGTTGCCAATAAAAACTATTTTTTTCTGTGATTCATGTGTGAAAATGAATTGAACTCGCTGCGTTCTCATGCCGAAGCGTTTTGTAACTTCAATTTAAATTACATTTTGCTTTCGTTACTCACAGTGCTACTGCAAGAAAAAAGCCGTTGTTTTTTTTCTTCTTAAAAGTGGCAATTCATGCATTGATTCAGATTTGGGCTGAAATATGTACTATGTAGGCTGTTGCTGTCGCCACCGCCGCCAATATCGTAGACAAATTTACGTACTCTCTGTGATTCTACACACCAGATGAATATAAACTTGGCCATACATCAACACACATACACATGACACACAACAACTCATAAAAAAGACTGAAATACTGAGCGCGAAAAAAAGCAAACAAAAGAAATGCCCTACATAACGCTTCTTGCTCATTTTTCCAAGATCACTTTTTTTCCACTTCGTTTATTGTCTGTGGTTACCGTGAAAGTGTTATGAACATGCAGCATATGATTGTTTCTAAATTTTCATCGCGTATAAATTCCCCAACTGAAAACTGAAAAAAAACACATCCAACACACTGCTGTACTGCTGCCACAACAATACTCATTCAGATGGTTCATTTTCGCGCGAAGAATGAATAGGCAATTAGCCATGAGAAATTGTCGATAATTGTAACATTGTACGCGAATTCTCCATCAACTGATTTCTTTTCCCCGACCATCTGACGACGGCTACACAATTATACTCACACTCATTCGAGTCTATTCTATTGCGATTGTAACGAGTTTTTGACTTTGATTTTGTGTGTATCATTAAGTTTTGGAGGAAGATGGTGTGTACATAGCGTAATTGCAATCGCGCATTGACCCTGATCAAGAGCATCAAATCTATCGTTGAACAAATGGCTCTTTTTCTCTTTTTCTTATGAAATTAGAGTGAAATAACTGTGTTGCCATTAAATTTGTTCAATTAAGATGCCGTTTGGGCTTCGAACGGATTCCAGAAATAACGTTTGCTAGAGAAAGTCGGTTGGCGTGTGTATGATACGAAATATTTTTGACAAAATTTCAATTGTTGGTTTTTCGTTTTTGATTTTTTTCGGCTGTTAGCCTACTCACCTGCAGATTTTCACACCCTTTGAAAATTCCCTCTTCTAATGCCTTGATTTTGTTGCCCGATAAATCCAAAATCCGTAATTGATGCAATGGACGAAACTCGGCCGTTGAGAAAATTGGATTCAACGAATCGCCAAATAAGTTGTCAGACAGCTTCAAAATGACCAACGTGTTCTAGATTGAAGACGAAGTCGGAAGAAGAGAAATTGATTACACAAACATAACCGTTTTAATTGGATTAGGAAAAGTTATTGAAAAAAATAATTGAACCTTTGTCTAAAAAAAAACATCAAATTTATTCCGAACATGTTCAGTTCTTGTAAGCCAAATGACTTAAAGTTTACTGTAAAATTTTACCATTTTTTCAACGGGCTTTTAATGGGTACACACAGAAAAGAATCCCCGGAAATTTCAGGTGTTCGCCGTAAAATTTGACATTTATATATAAATTTCTATATACATTTTACCGGCAACACTTCAATTTTCCGGGCGATGACATAATTTCAAATATTTGAATCTGTCATTTCAAGCCGTAAAATATATATAGTATTTGATAAAATGTTCGAAAATGTGTCATCGCCCGGAAAATTGAAGTGTTGCCGGTAAAATGTATATAGAAATTTATATATAAATGTCAAATTTTACGGCGAACACCTAAAATTTCCGGGGATTCTTTTCTGTGTGTAGCTCATAAATTTTTTTCGATTCGTAATAAACTTCTTTCAGAATAGCAATTTTTTTCATTATGAAAAAAATAAATATTAAATTGAAAAATTGCAAATTTCATTACAAACGTGTTCAATTACAAAATAGCGTGCTTACCTCAACGCCTGAAAAAGCTTTGTCGGGCAAACGTCGAATGGAGTTATGTGAAAAGTCTAAGCTGCGTAGCGGTAGACCTGTCGTAGCGTATGCCTACAAAACCATAATTAAATCAAATCAAAGCATTAAATAATAAGTTAAAAAAAAATCATCTCACTGAATCTGAGCAGAGAGTGATTTGAAACCGACAGAAAGCAAAGAAAAGAAAAAATGTTGAAATTTCTTCCGTTTCGTAAGCATTTTTTCCTGGTTTACCAACCTGTGTTGGCAAGACTTGTTGGCCGCAGTACCGTTGCGAAAATGAGATAATTGGTGCTCCGTTGGGTAGAATTGGCGAATCGGTGTGAAAGACGACATTGTCACAATCCATTGAAACGGCGCCCAGCTGTGATTTCGGTCCGAATGGTTCGACTTTGCATCGGCACGGGTATCTCAATGCTGAACTAAGCTCAGGGCATGGTTGCCAAGACAATGAACTTCCCGATGAAATTGTCACACATAGCCAAAGTAAAAATAAAAACCGCGACTTACACCTGTGCAGTATCATTCTGAAAATGATCAAGATACCTAAAAAATTAATTTACATTAAACTCACGTACACCACTGGTAATTGAGTTCAGAACACCCGGTTTTTTTTTTATTTCTGGGCTAAACCGAGAAAATGTGCAAAGTTCAAAAAAGTCAGTATTTAATAAAGCTGAAAAAAAATTGCGGTCGAAAGTTGAATGTATCCAACCATCCGACGTTTCTCATAGAATCGTAACAACGGACCATAATTGCCGTGGCCACTTTCACTATTCACACTTATTATTATCCAATTGAATGAGTTTTAAGTGAAAAAAATTGCTTCAATAAATATACTTGGATTTAATAAAGATCGGTGTTCGATTTCGATGTCGACAACAGCAGACTGTAAAGGTGTTGAAATGATTGACTATCTCACACAATTGATTCAACGCAAGAATTGTGAACGCGCGCTGAAGAGAGTGCGAGAGATAGACTCTTTCTCCAGTACAAACAGTTATTGAAATCATTTGCCGCACGTTGTTGGGTGATGACTTGGTCAAGTCACGATCGTGTGATGTCGCACTAGGTGAGAAAAGAGATAATACTGTTTTTCTCGCGAATGTTAAAGTCGTCATTAGAAATCTCATTGAAATTGCAATTATGTTGTGCCTTGCGATCAAAACAATCGCTCTTGACATCGACGGAGAAAAGAAGCCAAAACAGAAGTCAAGTCTATTGTACCGAACGTGACAATGACAAAAGAAAACACTGGGAAATTATTCGAGTCGATAAATTTTTCGTGGAACAATCACATGAGCTCTTCACATCGAATCGAAAACACACGAAAGCGAATAAACAAATTTGCTGTTCAAAGTGTATTTCAATGCGGGCCGAATCAATGACCGACCACTTATTATATAGAAATCGATAGCTAAACGGTTTCGATACTGTTTACCATTATTAAAATTGTGTTTGCATTGTGTGAATGGCAGACCCACTATGTGAGATGGTGATTGATTGTGTAGATGGCTTATCAGAGGAGACAGCGTGCGTGCTGTGTACGAACACCGGTGAAATGGCATTTTTGCATATACGCTGATTTCGTATTCATACTTCATACATATCATCGAATAATGTTATTTAATTCGAAAACGATGTTATGAGGGATTTTTCAATTTACCACCTTTCATGCGACAAGCATATCAATTTGATCAAACTTTCAATTGCCACCGAACCTGAAATATTTCGATAATTAAGGCCCAATTTTGGTTATGTAAAAAACAATCAGCAACATGAAACTCACTTTCGATTGCCAAAAAATCGCCTAACACGTAATCAATCAAAGTTTCTGAATGAACCCATTTGTAGAAATTCATGACTTTCAAATTAAATTCTATTCTACAAACAAAAAGATTTAGCCAACTGTCAACTTATGCTAATGACCAGTTCAAATACAGCGATTGGTGTCACGATCACAAACAACGGAAAAAAACGACCGTCGTTTCACATTACAATCGTTGCAAATTTTAAATTAACTTTGAGAAAGTGCTCACATGCGCGATTGAGCATGTGAAATTCTTCCATTTGTCTGATATTCTCGCGCTTTCTTATCGCAAAGTTCATTCAGACATTTTTTTTCCGAGCACTTTGTATGTTTCGCTTGCAAAGCGAAGCTCAAAATGAAGAAATACAAAATTGAAAAGTGACACAAAAGTCGACAAAATCAGAAAAAACAACTACCATTAAATACGGCTGATGACTGGTCCCAAAAGATGTAAAATCGGGGGAAAAGATGCGAAATCGGTAAAAGACGCAAAGCCATTAGGAAAAAAAGTGTACCACCGCAAAAGTAAATATGTAAATATTCACGCGGACGATCAAAGCGGGAATATCTAATGATGGCTGTATTTGCGTAACAGTTACTCTTTTTCGCAGCATTTTTATCGGCACCAAGTCGTTTAGTAGCGGTTAAAAAAGGCGTGTGTCAGCTCATTTCTTTTAATGCGTTGGGAGTCGCGCTCGAGTAATATGCGGAAGTGACTGCTGTAAATTGCATTGTTGTTCACTCTTCAACAAAAATGGTGTCGTTTCACACAAATTTTCCATATTTTTCCGTAATTTCCTCTCATAAAATCTGCCCATTCTTCTATTTTAATCCCATAATTCGAAAGACAATCTTCAGAGAGTCATTATAAAACTGTATAAAGATGTTAAACATTTGCAAGTTCACTTCAAGTAGTAAAAGTAAAAAAAGACTGCGCGCTTTTTTTCTGGAAAAATATTTTCATAGAAAATGAGATGAAATTATGCGCACCGGCATTCACTCCCTTGGAAACAAAGCAATAAAAAATCAGGTTTCTATGTCCGAAAATGATATTGTTTGAAACGGAACAACAACAAAAAAACTGGTGATTTAAGCCAGTGAAGTTGTGTTTTAATTTCATTCGTCGTGATCGCCATTAGGCCCCTATTTTATAAGCTAATTTTTTCGATTTGTATCTCGCGCAAAAATCCACAGCGTTTTGAATTTGATGCAGCCTTTTGATAGAGTCGACTAAAACAATTCCATTTTTATGTAGATTAAATGAGTTTTATGCAAATCTCATGTTGAAGCAATGTCGTGCCGTGTCGCGCTGCCCATGGTGATACCCCGATCAGATCAAAGTAAAAGTGATGATTCTTTTGTTCGGCAACGAGATTGAGATTGACATCAAGATCATAATACCCAGTGAAGATAAACTGAATGAGTTGAGAGTAATTTCCAATCATCAATCGTGGATCGATTCGAAATTTATGGGCTTTGATTGGGCGCGATGATGATGATGATGCAACCGTTCATCTTCTTCGATTCAATTATTTGGTATAAACCTGTTCGACACACCAATCATTTGTTTTTCTCCATCGACAATACAGCTCCGCGTCTATTCGATCGTTGCCACGCATTGCGTAATCAAACAACCAAATCGGTAAAAAGTGATCAAATTATATCCAAATTTATCCAGCACGACATGGCCTTTATACGTCGATGTCGTTGTCGTTTTGGGTAAAGTGTACGCAAACGCACGATCGATCGAATTACGTTGCTTTGAAAGTTGAATGTCATTTATAAATCAATTTTTTTGGGAGAGTCGTTTTTGAAGAAAAAGCACTTTTGATATGGCAAATTATCCGCATTTCATCACCTTGTAATAAGATTGTTTTTCGATTGGTACGCACGCACCAACATTTTTCGGCACCTGTTAATCATCAAACCATTATTACATGGCATAATGTCGATCGGATCAATCGACTGGCTGGCTAGTACAGACTCTTTTACGCGGTCGATTGCTCGCCTCATGCTCCGTAACGTTGTCATCATCATCGTCAATTGGCGCACAGCCAAATGTAATAAATGATCCGTATTCGAAGCAAAATTCCAAATACGTCAATAAAATAAGAAGCTATGATTACCGTTAGTCGTATTGGTGTTTTTCTCAGACTCTATTGCCTTTGGAGCGAGAGCGAGTGGCAACAGTACAACTCAAAATAGCCATTAGGCAACTTGCTATTGCCCGACAATCGGTCGCAATTGTCTGTGTACACTTTTTTATGTTCTTTTCCGTTGGTTCTTTTGTGCTTATGCTTGCGCAAAAATGAAATAAAAGCAGAGCAAATGAATAGCCAAAAAGAACGGAGAACAAGTGCCAGTACTCCAACAATACCGCATGCAGAAAAAAAATGTATGTCTGACCGACTAGTTTTTTTTCGTGTGTGAATTAGGAGCAAGTAAAGATACGTTGCTGTGGGCTTGCATTGGTCATTGACTACAACACTGAAACTTGGGCAATCGCAACGGGACTTTAAAACAATCCAAACCGACAATTATCTAATTTCTCACAACAATTAGATGACTGTGTTTTTGTTGCGATGGCCGCTGTAGTTGTCGTCGTCATTCTTCATTTCTTTTTTCGCACTTTTGATAAATGATTGCTTTTACTCGAACTTTTTTTTCACTTTGAAAAGGGCCACGTGCACGAAATAGCAATTTCGATGGTAACAAAAAAAAAAGAAATTGACCAAAATTTTCTATTGTAATTTTCAGAGCAAAGAAAACAAACCAAAAAAAAAACTGGTAACTTTTCCGGTGTCTTTTCTAATAATAAGCAGAAATATGGTCTCGATTGGTGTGCGTGTGACAAAACGTGACGACAGCAATTACTTGTCATCACTCAAGTTTGAAAATAATTGCTGGTGTCTGTATTGGTTCCGTTAAAATGTGAATTCTGCAAAGTGTAATAACCCAATATGTTGCGAATGAAACAAAAGCCATTACTGGCCAGTTAATATGTTCCATGTACAAATGCAATTTGATTGTTTTACGTTTCTGGCAATGGTTTTTTTCGCAATGAATCGACCGTTGATGCAGAAGAGATAAAATCACCGAAATCGTTAGCTATGATGTTTTCGAATTGTTGTTAAGGGCATTCGGTATCTCTCTCTGTGTGTGTGCGATTTCAAAGTGGAAAAAAAGAGAGTTACACAAGTGGTCAAGCATGTTTTCAAACGCCAAATCGCACTTGCTCTGCCCCGTCATATGTAATTTACATGTTTTTCCAACGTCTTCGTCTTGGTCGTCGTCGTGACAACATCATAATGGCTGTAATCACAATCGGCCGAATGCAAATCAAATGTGAATACATTTTCACTATAATGTGGCGAGACTTGCACACAGCCTTGGCTGCTGGCTGCGATGTGTGAATTGGATGAGATGACTGAGTCGGTTCTGATCCACTCGTCGTATGAGTCAACACAATCATTTAAATATATGCAGTCAATGGCTTGATGTTATTTTTTTAACTGTTTCTTTTTTTCAAAGCGGCGCGATTTGAATTCACATTTTTTTTGCCGGGGGGCAAACAAAATAACCGTGTTTCAATTGAATCGTGGGGAGAGAGAAAAAGTTTAAACACATACATGCCGAATAGAAAATAGAATCTAATCGGTTGAATTGAATGCGGCTGTTGGAATTGGATGCTTGCCATTTTGTGGGTTTCAAAGTGTATACTAGCATGCAACTCACA